CTGCACAGCCTGATTCAGGGGGCGCTGGGTGGCGATTGCGCGGTTTACCCACCAGGGGGCAGCACGCTTACCAAAGGCTTGTGAAGCACAGCTCAGAGTCTCTGGACCCTCTGCTTCTCTGCCTCCTCGGGGGTCACAGTTCCTGGCACTGCGCATTCTGCCACCACTGCCTCCCTGGAAAGCTCATAGAGAGCTTTTAGGGAAAAAAAGAAGCCCAACAGTCCAAAGTCCCTCGAAACTGTTCTCCAAGCACTAACAAGGAAGGTGAGAAGGAAAGGAGAAGGCAGGAAATAAACAGAAGAACCCAGGGAAGAGAAAAACAGGGACAGGAAGTGGTTGTAACTCTCTTTTTGGAGACATGGTGTCATTATGTAGTTCGGGCTGCCTTTGAACTCTCCACAATCCTCTTGCCTCGGCCTCCTGAGTTCTGGAATTACAGTGTGTGTCACCACAGCGAGCACAATGTCTTCATCCAATTATAGCCTTTCACGACTAACCAAAAAGCTCTAGCTCTCTACCCACGAACAACTGTCTAGCTCTTCTCTTCAGTACCCATCTAGTGTCCAAAACTCCAATTTCATTCCTTTGCTTAACCAATCTGTTCTAAAGAGGCCCAGGTTATAGAAGCCAAGAGCTAGGGACTGGGGGAAATCGGAACAAATGACATGACCGAGAAACTTAAGTCTCTGCTAAAGAAAATACACACGTTCCTATCCAGGACTGGCACTCTGAACACATTTTTTGCAAGAGATGTTTTCCTGAATGTGGCGAGGCTGTACAAGGCAGCTCTGGTCTTCAAATAGAGCCTTTTATGGTGTGGTTTGGGACTCTAATGATCAGGGTGCTATTAAAAACACTTAACCAAGAGATTACGGAGCCAAAGTAATTTTATGCCCTTTCTGTGCCTTACAACTGAGTATCATCAGATGGTCTGGCTATAATAAGCACCTAAGCAAACCTATTATTCCCGTTTCAAACAAACGCCTTACATTTGGCTTTCTGGAAACTTTCAGAATTCCTAATCCTAAAATGCTTGCTCAGCAGGGCCACATAGTTCTAAACCCACACTCAACTGGCTCTGTTCTGAGAAGAAAAAGGTTTGCAAGATTTTCTCTTTCCCTCATAAAATGAACGGCAAGATGACACTTTCAACGAACAGCAGCAGGACCCTTCGCTCTGCAGGGCAGGACACATCTGAAAACCTGCCACTTCCTGGCAAGTACAGAGCCATGCGACATTTTACTTCTATCATGTTAGGCAGAGGAGTACGCACCGAAAAGCAAATAACACTGAATCCATTCAGCAGATATATTTTAGGATGAAGCTGGCAAGCTTCATTATCCATAACCAAAAGTTCCTCTGATATTCAGTGACAACTCGGAGGAACGAGAGAAAGCAAGTTACTGACATATTATGTATGAGCTTATTTTGTACACGGAACCTGAATGAGGTACATAAAATACACAGCTAGGCTTCCTGGATAGGCCCAAGGTCCACTTGGGGCTATTTGATCTTTTTTTTGTTTTGTTTTTGGTCTTCCACCCCCCTCCCAGTACTGGGAATCGAACTCACGACCTCATGCTTGCCAGACAGGCGCTGTGCCACTGAGCTAAATCCCCAGCCCTGTTTTTGGTCTTTTTGAGACAGGGTCTTACTATGCAGTTTAGGCTGGCCTTGAGCTCACTTTGTAGCCCAGGCTGGTCTCAACCTTGCAACGATTCTCTTGCCTCAGCCTCCTGAGTGCTGGGATTATAGGCATGCACCACCACGCCTGGCTATTCGATCTTAAAATTCACAAAGGCACAAATAAACCTGGGCTAGCCTTATTAAATATAGATGTGGAATAGTTTACTGAGTGTGTTAAATGCTACCGTATAATTAGTAAAGCTATTATTTTTTTTAATTTTTTTTTTTTTTTGGTACCAGGAATTGAACTCAGCACCTTGCGCTTGCCAGGCAGGCACCTGTGGCACTGAGCTATATCCCTGGCGCTTAGATTTTGAGGGGGGGCTATTATTTTTAAACCACTGCAATATATGACTTTGTTCATAGGTGCTGATGTTGAGAAACCAACTTACTATACATTGCTCAAGCTACATATATTGCATGTCTAATATGTAATGGAGCACAATTTCCAATCAGGCATTTTCATTATTTGCTGTAAGTCAATTTACCTCTGAAGCAGCTCAGAGACTACCCTTTAGTTCTATTTCTCATAACAATGACAGGCACTAACAGAATGCACATCAGGGAAAGTCTTTCTTTGGATGCCTGTGGTGTCTGACATGGGGTAAAGGGAAGACTGGGTTTTATTGTCTCAGACGATCCTCATGTATTGGGCAAGGAGAGTAGCTGCTGAAATTAAGAACTCATTAGTGCATGTTCACGTGGTATGATACATAGTATAAAATATAACCAGAACCTTTTCAAGATTTGAGAATCCACTTTCCAATATGTGGTTATATAAAATTGACGAATCAATTTATAAATCCAGGCAACCAATAATGCCTAAAAAAAACAACAGGCCTGGTAATCTAAAATAGATTTTTGGCAGTAACAAGACTAAAAGCTGGAAATGTCTGAGCTTAATCAAATATTCCATTAAATGTCAAACTACCACAAATTATTTTTATATAACTTAATAGCATGGCTACTGGTATAAAAAAGTAGAGCTCAAAAGTAAATAATTTTATTTCTATTAAATGCAATTATCAGAAGCCATAAACATTTTAAAAAAATCTATGTAAAGAGCGATTTTTTTTCATACTACGCTATAATCCCAGCACTCTGGGAGGCTGAGGCAGGCAGATCACAAATTAGAGTCAAGCGTATGTAATTATTGAGAGCCTATCCAGAAAAAAAAGGAAAAAAAAAAGAAAAATGGCTGGGGATGTAGTTTAGTTTGGTGGGAAGGCCCTGGGTTCAATGCCCAGGTCTAAAAAACAAATTTTAAAGAAGAAAAAGGGATTTTCTTGAGGTAACCTTAAGGTTATATACAGCTAGACATATCTGGGATTCTGGGCGAAGTTTTTCCTACATTTTCACATATTACACTATCTATCTAAAAATGGCCCGAGTTTTGCTCACATAAGCAGTCTTTTGAAAAATGCAAAATATCAAGCAAACCACACAGTTTTGTAATCATTCTCACTGTTGAAAAATTCAGAAAGTGAAATATTGTAGCTGCTTCAGGATTTAATATAACGAAAGCTGATGTGTGGAGTATGCAGAGAATAGCAACGTGGGGACCCTAGCACGGTGCACTGGACGAGCAGCGTGGGGCAGGTAGAGGGCGGAAACAGCCCCACCTGGAGCAGGGCCAGGAGGGGCATCTTAGCCAAGGGCACCGGGTCCAGTATGTTCACCTGTGCATCAAGGTTTGCTAAGTTCTGTAATCGCACTGGTATCTTCACTGCAGTTATAATAAATTATAGCAAACTCGTATGTGATTTCCAGAGGTCTCCGGTAACTTCAGGTTTACGTTTGTATTCTTATATTTTACATGTTATTTTTGTAATATTCTGTTTTTTCAGTAGAATACCTTTACCTCTAGCTCTAAATACAAGGGCATTTTAAAGAAAGACTATTTCCCTTGTATCTAACAAACTTCCTAGAATTTTGAAGGACAATTCGTTTTCCTGTTAATTACATACCTAGTCTTTATTAGACTGTTTTCAAGTAAATATTACATAGTAGCTACATTTTGTTTTTTTGGGACAAGGTCTCAGTATGCAGTTCAGGCTGGTCTTGAGCTCACTTTGTAGCCCAGGTTGGTCTCGAACTCGCAGTGATTCTCCTGTCTCAGCCTTCCGAGTGCTGGGATTACAGGCATGTGCCACCACGCCCGGCATTAGCTACATTTTGATAGTATCCATCCCAGGACTGAATCTGGGATATATGAAATGCAGACTTCTAAAGCACTCCAATGGGAAAAATCATGATGAAAACACTTTACTGCAAATTAAGAAAATAAAAAAAATGATTTACTATATCCTATCTTTTTTTTTTTTTTTTAAGTTACTGGGAGAGGAACCCAGGGAATGTTGAGCTACATCCACAGCCATTTTTATTTTTTTGCAGACAGGGTATCACTGAGTTGCCCAGGATGGCTTTGAGGTTCTCCTGCCTCAGCCTGAGTAGCTGGGATTACTCTCTTTGCCAGCACATCAGGCTGATTTAACACCTTTCAAGGATTATCTTAGTGTAAAACCTCTCTTTAAATAGAACTAATTTATAAAGCTGTACATTACTACTTTGTTTTGAAAAAGGCAAATATAAACAAATAAGCATTTGTTTTATAGCATTTTCTATAGCGACCCCTTTAACTTGATAAAATATTCAAGGCCAGCATTTTTAAATAAGCTACTCTAAGTTTTAGCTTAACTTATATGAAAAAAAGCATTAACAGAAGAAATTACGTTTAATAATGAAGAATTTCCACTAAATATTAACAGAGTGTCCCCATAATACACTAAAACCTGGGCTTGTCAGGCCCTGCTCACGCCTTCACATGGGGACGCCTCCCAAGCAGCCACACTGCGGCCGTCACGAGGGGACCTACACTGTGGGACACTGTGTGGCACAGCCACGGAGGGGACAGCAAATAGGGAACAAGGGGGCAACTAGAGACATTGCCCCTCTGCGCCACCCTCTGGGACACGGCACGCCCCGCCCTCCCCTGGTCAAGCCCAGCTCTAAGGCTGCTCCTTCACCCAGGCCACCGGCTGGCAGCAGCTCCGTGAGCAGGCACTGCCTCCAGGCGAGGAGCAGCACGTACAGAAAACCAAGGCCCTGGGCCCTTAGGTTCCCCTGACCGCCACCACACCCAGGCTTCCAGTTCACTACGGAGCTCCTGGGTTCACTCGCTCGGGGGTTGATTAGGCTGCCACTGGTAGAAGGGATGCTACTAAAGTGGCTGAAATAGCTCAGGAGCCTGAAAGCCTGTGGTACATTTGAGAAGTTCTTTAGGTATTAGAGTAAGAAAATTCTACAACTCCCACCTGGTGATCCAAATATATGGTGTTCCTTTGAAGATGATGTGAAAGAATTTCATTCTAGTAGGCACCAATCAAGGAAAAAGGACAGAGAAACAGGGTGCAGAATTCATAAGAAGGTCAATTTTGAAATAAGACAAACAGTGGCTTACTACAACGTACTGGGTCACAGGCACAGTAACTTGCACACACATGCTCCCCTGTCCATGGCAGGGAGGGCAGGGAAGGGTGATGAAGCTGCACTTAGTTTTCTAAGGAAGTAAGCGGACAGGGAGATGGAGCCGCTAAGCAGGGAAACCCTCCCGTGGCTTTAGCAGATGGGATGTTAGGCGCCTTCCCGCTGCTCCCTGTCCGTGAGCCGCCCTCCCCTCAGGACGGCCCTCACACGACCAGAGGCTATTACACCCTTTGAGAAAGGTTTGTACGTGTTCACTTCTCACCAAGAACACAGGAGTTACCTTAACACTAACTTCTGACATTTGAAAGGCAGCATGGGGAACGAATTTTCAACGTGACTTCACTGGAAACTGCTGGACTTCTCTGTATCTGTTTTAGCAGGTGTGGCGGTCACGGTATTAACTTAGTAACACTGCTCTGAAATCCGTGTGGATTTCCTCACTCAAGACCAAAAGCAGATCAGCTGAGTGAAAGGCAGAAAGAAATGCATCCTCTGCATTTCTTCCCAGGAATATACAAGCTGAATTCTCAAAGGGTCAATAGGAGAGCGCAATGTCGCCACAGTGATGGGGCATGGCACCGGTTACACTGATGGATGAGTGGCTGAAAATAAGTGACAATGGCGGTGACACAGACACAAGTCTTCATAGCTGACCTTTGGGCTGTGGGCCTCAAGTTTGAGCTGCATGAGCTGTGCTAGCGTATGCTCCCGGATACTACTCAGCTCCGCCTGCTGCCGTCGCAGCTTTATTAGCAGCAGCGTAAGCTCCTCTGGCTGAAGGAGTACAATTTAAGAATCCAAACAGTGGAAAACAGATTAATTGTTGTCTTAAGTGACAGACATTAAACCAAGATTTCTTGGCAAGTTTCCTCTTATGGTTGACATCACACATAGCGCCTAGACACTATGATGATGGGTCCTACACAAATGCATAGACATCTAGAGAAATAGAAGGGACAGGGTTACTCTCAGCAGAACAACAGCACAGTCAGGCATTTTCTCAGAACTCAAGAAAGACTGCTCAGATGTTAGGCATAAAAAAGTACAATGTCATTATAAGAATTTACACATATAAGCTGTTAAGATTACCATAAAAAATACTCTATCCAGAAGTTTAAAATTTTATACCTAAGACTTTTCTAGCAACAGATCAATACGTGCATGTCCAACACACTATTGAGAGAACAGAAGACAACTAAAAAGAATTGAAATTCACGTACAACTGGGATATTTTCACATTATCAAAGCAGGGCCTATCAGTCATTTCCCAGTTATATTTTATAATTTCACCGGCCATGCTTTCACAGCATGTTTTTGATCAAAACAACAATTTTATTTTGCAAGAAAAAAACAGAGATTCTAGGGGTACATAACCCTTCTTCCACGTTCTGGGAAAAGCAGAGAGCTTTTTGATTCCTGATTGGTGCTTATGATCCCTAAGGAGAAAAAATTTTCAACAGTGAATGAAATTCCTTAACAGGCCAATCTGATGTATTTTTGCTTGTTCGAAATGCAGTAAAGTATGCACACGGACAGTCGTGCAGCCTGTAAAGTATCACTTGGTGATTTTCTGAGCTTTGTTGTGATTGAAACCTAACTGTAGAGCTACCGTCTACTGAAAATTCCAGGTCAGAAGCTGTCCCTGAGACTGGCTGGCTGTGCTTACATTCAACACTCTTCTGTTCAGTTGCTGTTGCTCTTTGTTTTCTATAAAAATCTTTAAATCATTTTTCACTGTTACTAGAAGTCATATTAAAAATTACTGCCCTTAGGAGGTATCAGTGAAAATCAACTATAGCTACTACTGGATTCCTTACATAAAACGCACTATCTGTATTTTATTTTATTTAAAAAAAATTTTTTTTTGGTACCGGGAATCGAACTCAGGACCTTGTGCTTGCCACGCAGGCACTTGTGCCGCTGAGCTATATCCCCGGCCCCAAACTCACTACCTGTAGAAGTAATACAGTAGTCTTATATGAAACTTTCAAAAGACACAGTGTGCATACGACCTAAAGAAGAAACTACATAAATGAAAAAAAAAAGCCCCTCGGCTCTGAAGCCAGCATCATCCTGTGATCTCATTCTGGGGTGGCCATGTTTCATGACTGTGAGGCCCCACTCCTGAGGTCTCACCAGGGTTATGGGGTGGACCTGGGATTAGACACTCTGAGACCCAGAGCTACAGATGACAGAAATACCGAAACAAGAAATCTCGAAACTCTGGTTTATTACATATGGAGCTAAGAAGATAAAGAGATTTTCAAACTGATGAAAGGCACCAGTAAGTTTGCTATTTATTTACATTTTGAGGCCAAATAAAAAGATGCACATCTGACTGCAGGAAGAGTAGGTGGTAAATAAATTGTATCCTGAATATCCACTAGAGGGAGCAAGGCAAGAGAAAACAACATCATAGGATACTGAGTGTTTGATTATGATTAACTCCTGTTTGTCAGATGAACAATCCAATGCTTATAAATTATAATGGTTAAAATTTCTATTTTAATCAAACAATATTCCTGATCTGTAATAAAAGAACTGCAAGTAGCTTAAAGCCAGGAACAATTTTCTTACATCTAAACATGTAAAAGGTGAAATAAAACAATGTTTATAAAATATATACAAGATGAATTTATTTTGATTATTGCAGGAAGACAATTTTAAATAATGAGCAAGTATATGGTGTTAAAATCATATCTTCACAGAAATTGAGACTGTCAATAATAAAGTCAGTTTCACTGATGAAAGAATGCTATTAATATAAATTGAAATTTTGAAAAGTAATTTTTTTCTTTTTGACTTGAAAAACAGCAGTGTCCTGGTATTAAATTCCATCCCAATTGAATGTAATAGTGATAATAAAATGATAAATGAAAAAAAATTTTTTTGAACCAGATTTTTTTTTTTTTTGAGACACAGTCTCACTGTGTAGTCCAGGCTAGACTTGCACTCTTGGCAATCCTCCTGCCTCAGCCTCCCAAGTGCTGGGATTACAAGTGTGTGACACCACACACAGCTTGATGCAGGAGTTTTACAGCCTTTCTTTTTCTGTGCAAATATGTAAATCTATTTTGGCTCTATAGTACTTCATTTATATAAAAATCCATAAGAAAAACTTGTTAGCATTTCTGTAGTTTGACTTACAAATAGTTGCTTGCTGAATTTTTCCCAATAATATCATTAGTCTAATTTCTGTTTTAAGCAGAAGGTGATGACAAATCAAAGAAAGCCAGGTAAGTTATATAATAAATTTTAAAATAAAATCTTTTAAAGTCTGGATCTCGCTGGGTCCTTCAGGCTGGCCTTGAGCTCACTATGTAAGCTGAGGCTGGCCTCGAACTCAGGGTGATCCACCTGCCTCAGCTCCTGAATGCTGGGATTACAGGCATGTGCCACCACACCCAGCTCTAAAATAAAATCTTTTATTTAGGCAGTCAGACATTTAGGGAAAGGTATCTACTAAGACACTAAAAGGGCGACGTGATTCCAAATTCTGATACGAACTCTTTTCCACAAAGCAGTAATGGTTTTTCTTTTGGAGACATCTCTAACAATTCAACCCCAAAACCACATCAGATATCTGCCTTTGCGGTTCCAAAGTAAACAGACGGGTAGATAACGCCAGCACACTCACCGGTTTGCCTTGGAGGCTCTGCGGACTAAGAGACTGTAAACTCAGGCCAGCTGGGACAGACCTTCGGTCAGGCACATAGACATGCTAGGAAAGGAAAAGCACAACAGAACTGTGTGACTTCTCTGCGCCTTTTTGTCAATGAAGTGATGAGAAACCCCAGGTTGTATTATGAAACACCAATTAAAAATGGATATTAGCACTAATGACAGAAAGACACCAGCACTTCTTGTTGGACTAAAACACAGATGCTGATAAGCAGAGCAACATATGTAGCGTGCTTTAGTGATTCTCAAACTTTTTGGTCTCAAGACCACTTTATATTCTTAAAAAGAAAATTCAATCATAGGGCTATACTTGTTTTACAAATCTTAATAGCTGGCTGGGGTCTCAGATCTGCTTCTATATTGAATTTGTTGTGATGATCTCTTTTTTTTTTTTTGAGAGAGGGTCTCCCTGTGTAGTTCAGGCGGGCCTTGAACTGACTACGAAGCCCAGGCTGTTCTCGAACTCACAGTGATCCGCCTGGAGGCGTGCGCCACCTTGCCCGGCAGGGAGAATTTCCTCACGTGCTTCTAGTAAGAGATCATCTGAATCCACACCAATGGGCTTTTGGCATTCATCAGTCCATCCACACTTTAATATTTTGCATGTGCATGATTTGGTCATATGAAACACTGGCATCTTGGACAGTCCTGGGAGTTAGGCAACGTTTCCAGTGTTGCCATGTTTCCATGAACAAAACCAGAACAGCAGGGTTGCTAGTGCCAGCTGTTTCCTTCAGAGTGACAGACTTACACTCACTTTGAGGAAGGGTACTGTCAAATCCAAGTCTTAATAAACACAGGGTCTTTGTTCCTTCCAGCAAATATGGTGTTCCGCACAGACAGAGCTAGCTCAGTGTCCACTCAAACAATCAGTTTCCTGGGACACCCCAGCCATGGGTACTTTGGTATGCAACAGAAGTGCTTTAGACACACTCACATTTCATCAAACATAATATTAAAATGGTATGTAATGGAAGGTCAAGATCCCATAAAGTTATTTTTTACTTTGTAATTCACGCTGGCCTTGAACTCACTATGTAGCCAAGGCTGGCCTCTAACTCATGGTGATCCTCCTGCCTCAGCCTCCTGACTGCTGGGATTCCAGGGGTGCACCACCACCTCTGCAGTCACTTTTTCTGTTGTTATTTTTGTCAGTCACAGCTTAGGATATACAAAGTGACAAAACATTGAATCTTGTTACAGTGGAGTTCAAACTGAAGCTTCTGTCAGTGACGCAAAGTAAAGCTTTCTTTGAAAGAAAACTGATTTATTAATCTCCAACAAATGCTTATTCATAGAATTATCAGGCAAATGCTGTGCACAATAATGCAGCTAAAGGACTCAGCCAGTCACAAGGATAAGAAAGTGCACTTAAAAATGCTGGAAATTACGGCAAGAAATTCTTTGCCGGATTAAAATGAAAATGACGTTACTATTCCTTTACTGAACAAAACCACTGCTTTACCTTTACGCAGAAGTGATCACTACAAGCACTGAAGTCAAACAATCTACTAAGCAACCAACCTAAAGTCCAAATGGAAGCGCGATTATGGGGCTGAAGACGCGGCTCAGTGTGCAGCGATCCTCTGCCCGGCAGGTGAGACCCTGGGATTGATCCCCAGCACTATGACCTATGACCTTTACCTGGGTCTTCAGTTTAAAAATCTTGCTATGTTGCCCAGACTGGTCATGAATTCCTGAACTCAGCTGGTGCCTTGGCTCTAGGCTCCTGAATGGCTGGGACTATAGATGCTCTGGATTGTGTCTTAGTTTTTTTTATATTTACACACTCCTTAGGTACTGTGGATTCTAATGTTGAGTTGGGTATGTCAGGAGATCTCAATATGCCATGTAGCTACTTGTTTAGAAGACGAAGTACGCAGCAGGACGAGCTTGACGTGAGACTGCAGATACGCCGGGAAAGGGCAGGTGGAGAACGTGCAAGTGGGTGATCTGTGTGGGCCTAACCTCCAAGGAGGGCTGACAAGGCATGCTACTGGAAAGAAGAGAGTGCATCGTGTATCTGCTCAAAGTAACTATTTCTGTGCTCCTGAGAGAGGAAGCACCCAAAATAGAGTTTTCTATATGAGACTTCAGTATTACATAGCTCTTTAATTTTTTTTTTTTTTTTGCACTAGGAATCGAATTTAGGACCTTGTGCTTGCCAGGCAGGCACTTGTACCACTGAGCTATATTCCAGCCCCCTCTTCTTTCCTTTTCTTCTTTTCTTTTTTTTGTCTTTTTGAGTCAGGGTCTCACTATGCAGTTCAGGCTGGCCTTGAGCAAACTTTGTAGCCCAGGCTGGTTTTGAACTCACAACGATCCTCCTGCCTCGGCCTCCCGAGTGCTGGGATTGCAGGCGTGCGCCACCACGCCCAGCCACATCTCTTGAGTTTCTGAAACAGGAACAGCAGCCTTGCTCTCCTTCCTGTTCTCTTGCCTGTCTCACACTTGGAAGAACATCCTGCCTGCGGGGAGCAACACAAGGGGAGCGAGCGTCTCACCTTAGGGTAGTGAGGCCTGTGTCTGCGGTCTATGGTCACATCTCCTCTCTGGATGGGTGAGGTCACCTCGGATCTGTACGTCCGCTGTGGGGAGTAGCCCTGGTAAGCGGCGATGGACCCGTGCGAGGGCGACGTGGGAATAGAGTGCATCGTCTGATCGGAGATGGGAGCCGCGCCTTTAGGACTGCTCAGGGAGCTGTGTCTCGGGAGGGTGCTCTGCTTGTTGTAGAACTGCCGCTGCTGCCACTCGTACAGCTGCCACATGGTGTCATCCCGCACGGACCTCCGCTTCTCTTCCGCCGCGGGCGCTCCCGCCTTGTCGTGGCCGGAAGGGGCCAGGCCGCAGATGCTTTCCGGCCTGGTCTTGCTGTTCCTGGGGAGGGTTCTGTAGCCTTCTGGGTACCGGGCTACAACCTGGGCTCTGTGGCTTGGCATATTTCTCGGTAATGTCTGGTAAGAAATAACTCTGAAATTAAAAAAAAAATTGCACTGTAAAAACGAAGGAGAAAGTTGTTCCCGAATTCTAAATTACAACACATTTCTTTTTTTCTGGTAAATAAAATATGTATCAGGATGTACTTTTATTTTTTATTTATTTTTTTTTTTGTGGTACCGGGGATTAAACTCATGACCTTGTGCTTGCCAGGCAGGTGCTTATGCCACTGAGCTATATCCCCAGCCCACTTTTATTCTTTTTTTTTTAAACCAGGAATTGAACTCAGGACCTTGCACTTGCCAGGCAAACACACTGCCACTGAGCTACATTCCCAGCCCTTGGAAACAGAAGATTTCTGTACGGACGGAAATGTACATTCCCCAGCTACACCTACTCTAGGGGCATGCTGACCTCCCTGCTGGAGATTCTCTTTCACAAAGCATGGGGCATGCGGGAGCAGGTGCATCAGTGTGTTTGTGGCTTTAAGAAATAATGTGTTCATAATTTTTTCTAACTTGAAAAACAAAAATATTGAAGCTAAAGTTCAAAATCTTTTTACAGACAAAGCACTTAATCATGGCAATGTTTCAGAGATTACAATCTCAGGAACTCTGCAGTACTTTCATCATAGTAATTATTATTCTACTTCATGATGGGATCAGTATTTTGGGTGGAGCTTTTCAAATTCTCCATATACATAATACATGTCACATATAATCCCCCTAAAATGCAAACTCTTGGAATTGGATACACTGTCACATGTTACTAAGGAGTTGACTATTATAATTTCCTAAATGAAAGGATAACATTTCAGCTTATTATTTTTTAAAAATATTGAATGACTGAGACAGGGTTTTGTTATGTAGTTCAAGCTGTCCTTGAACTCACAGTGATCCTCCTGTCTCAGCCTCCTGAGTGCCAGAATTACAAGTGTATGCCACCACAGGGGGCTTAAAAATTATAAATATAAAACTTATAAATGTACTCTTGAATTTATCAAAACTATGTGCTAATTTCACACTAGGTCAAATACATTACATGAAAAGAATTTTTGTAAGTCAATTAAAAATTTTATGTAAAGTTAGCATTTGTTTTCCTCATTATTTTATTTTTAATTTTTTAATTTTTTCTTTCCTGGTACCGGGAATCGAACTCACAACCTTGCACTTGCCAGGCAGGTGCTGTGCCGCTGAGCTAAATCCTCAGCCCCTTTCCGCATTATTTTAAAAAACAGGTATAGTTAAAATTCGAATTCTAAATTCAATCTTTCTGTAACTACCACAAGAAAAATCCAAATTAAAAAGAGCAAGATTAAATTACAAGTATTCAACTTATCCGTGAACATAAATTTCTATTTTATTTTATTTTATTTTTGGTACCAGGAATCAAACTCAGGACCTTGCACTTGCCAGACAGGCACTTGTGCTGCTGAGCTATATCCTCGGCTAAATTTCTATTTTAAAGTCAGTATCATCCAATGAACAAAATATGTAGGATAATTGGGATTCCATAAGCTCTACTTTCCCAATCTCTTCTTTCAATGTTTATTTCCTAACTCTGTGCTATTTACTATATACTTACAACTTATTATTGTGTATACCCAACTGTACAATATATTGCTACCTCTGATTGGGTGATAAAACATGCTAGTGTTGGTGACTGCATACACCAGGAGGGGGAAAAAAGTTGATGTGTAAATTACTAGACCATTTTTTTTTTCTTTGTCTTTTTGAGACAGAGTCTCGCTATGCAGTTCAGGCTGGCCTTGAGCTCACTTTGTAGCCCAGGCTGGCCTCGAACTTGCAATGATCCTCCTGCCTCAGCCTCCTGAGGACTGGGATTACAGGCCTGCGCCACCACACCTGCCTAAACCATGCTTTTAAATTTTTTTTTTTTTGGTACCAGGAATTGAACCCCGGACCTTGGGCTTGCCAGGCAGGCACTGTGCTGCTGAGCTACATGCCTGGCCCCTAGACCATACTTTTAATCATCTGGGAACGTCTGGCTGATAATCTGGGGGCTCTCTGATAGACTTTTACTCAAAGTACTTCCGAGCTCTTCAGCAATTTTTCTTAAACCGAATTTCCTTCACTGTGACGGTTGTTCTTTGAATTTTCAATGCCTGTACTTGAAAACAGGCGCACTGAAAACTGATCAAAGTGCCCCAAGACAAGAACCATGGCATGAGGGCAAGCATCTGGTGACTCCAGGGTGGCGTAAGAGAGAAAGTCAATACTCTTATAGACCCTATATAGAAAGTTCAATTACTTGCATCTTTTGTACTCTGAGTGTTCCTATTTTTTTTCTGCTTGACCCTCACTCCCACCTTCTTTGATAACATGAAAGCCAGAAACACAAAGTCCAGGGCTGGCAGTGCCAATGGCTACCAGGTCACAAAGTACATGAGCAGGGAAAACTGATTCTATCCAGGAGTCTTATGCTACCATATCTGTGAAGATTCTGTGCGGAGGAGATTCTGCCCACCTAGCGAAGCAATCTACTCTGATACAACACCTGCTGCATTTGGTCATTTATAGTCAAGAAATACTATAGAAACCTTAACATCGAAAAGGATCTAAATTCATAAAAGGGAGGGACATACATCATCTAAAACACACGAAAAACTGCCTTTAACATTTGCTAGAGTTCAGAAAATCTAATCACTCCAAACACTTCTGTCAGTGCTCCAATTACTCACATTATTTGAGCTGCACCCTGTGGTAGACCTGTATATTATATCTGAACTGTCAGCCCACGCTACGATCATAAACAGCAGACCGTTTTTCTAGCTAGCTTGGTAACTGATGACTGCAATGTTTAGAAGGTTCTTCTGCCATTTTTAGAGCCACTTCTGGAGACTTTTTGATAGAAAACTAAGTTGTTATCAATTCCTTTTTGCCTTACATACTAATATTTGGAGACTTTTTTTTTGAAAAATTAGAATTCCCTCAGCGATTTCCCCTAAAGAAATTCAAATTAAGCTAAGTGTGATTTACTTTTAAGTGAAAGCTTAAGACATGAATACTGTAAGCTCCTTCATCAGGGTCAGCGGCTCATTCAGCAGCAGCTGCTGTCAAACACCGTGACAGCCCGTCCCAGTGATTCTCAGCAGAACAATGGCTGACGCACCAGCATCGGAACAGTGCCTGCTCCTCACAAAGCAACGTTAGAGCTTTGTTCACAGGTGCGGGGTCCACCATTTGACTCAGTATTAAATGAGTATTAAAGTCTTTTCTATCAGGACTTTAATAAAAGAAAGTCTTTTATAAAGTGTTTTAAAAAATGAAGCACACTATGATGAATGTGATCATTACAGATACCTAAAATGTACCAATAAAATCTGACTGGAAATCGTTAAAAAATAAAAAGAAAAAAGAAAAAAAAGGAAGCGTACCATGAATTACAATTATGCTTCTTTCCACCACAAAAAAGTATGGTGATTTTTACGATGAGACTTATTGAATACTGCGGGCGATATTTTTCAAGGACCCTAATGGCCTCTAGCCATTTCAGAGAATACCTAACAGAACCTGTGGGAACTGGGACCACTGTGAGCCCAGAGATGAGGAAACCCAGAGAAAATATTCGTTCAGAATAACCCAAGACCAGGCTCCAAAGTCGCTGGTGTGCACGTAAAAGAAAAAAATCATAGGAAGGTTAGACACATACTAATCATGTTCAAGAGACCCAAAACTGATGTTTTCATTTCACAAAAGCAAAAATCTAATTTCCAAGTACTTGTTGAATTTGGTACTACTGCACCTTTTAAACTTAAAAAAAGTATCATTTTATTTGAGGAAAAGTGATTCTTCTTTGAAGTGAGTTTTAACTTCTCACTTTTTAAAAAAGGTACAAGTCCCTGACTGCTAGTAAATTTGAGCCTTTATTCTTTTTTTTTTTGGTTTTTCTCTGGTATTGGGAACTGAACTCACGACCTTGCGCTAGACAGGCAGGCGCTTTTGCCGCTGAGCTAAATTCCCAGCCCTGAGCCTTTATTCACATTTTAAAAAAATTTGCTGCACAAAAATTGTGTACGTGTACAGTTTAGGATGTGATGTTTTGAAATGTTATATAATGCTAAATCAGGTTAATTAACATACATTACCTCATGTACTTTTCTGTGTGCTGAGATACTGCAAAATATTCCTTGGCAGTTTTCAGGTATACAGTACACTTTATGACTGCTATGCCATCATGTTGTAGAGAGACCCCTTAAGTTTATTTTTGAAATAGCAACTATTTCTTATGATTCTCCCTTGGAAATTCGGAAAGGCGGTACTGAGGGTGAAAGTGAAAACTGGCGAGCAACACACACAGCTGTGGGAGGGGACAACAGAGGAGGCCAAGTCACTCCTCGAAGACTTCTGATAACTCAGGCGCAGCCATCACCAAACAGGAAGAGCATTCCCAGGCCTCAGGAAGGGCTGGCTAAACCCAGCTCCATTTAATTGAAAAAATTCTAAAATATCGCTGTTTAAAGTCATTGCTTTCTGTTACTCAGAACAGTTACTGTAACTGTCCACTGAATTTTTATGCATGCTAATTAATGCACTAATTAGTACTTTAGTTTTTTGGTTTTTTTTTTTTTTTCCGGTACCGGGAATTGAACTCATGACCTTGTGCTTGCCAGGCAGGCGCTGTGCTGCTGAGCTAAATCCCCAGCCCCTAATTAGTACCTTTAGAAATTTAAATTTTACTTTTTTTTTGAAGACAGGGTCTTGCTGTACAGTCCAAGCTGGCTTTGAACTCACTATGTAGCCAAGGCTGGCCTTGAACTTGTCTAGATCCTCTTATTTCTGCCTCCCAGGTGCTGCGATTAGGGGCCTGCACCACCACGCCCAGCCTACATTTTACTTTTGAAAATGTCAATTTCTCACACCTCAAGGCACCTGTGCTTCCTGTCTCTCCGGCCTGTGGTTTTGGTGTCCTTTTCTATTGTCTATTCCTTAACGTCCTCTGGGGTTTTCCCTTGGAATCTTTCTCTCGCTCAGCCCTTTCACGAAATGAACGCACGTATCTATTTCACAATTCATTTTAGTTATCTTGATAAACCAGATTCAAGTTCAGGTCTGGAGAAACTGACTCTCAGGCATTCAATTTAAGTTTCCCACCCACTTCTTTCCTGCTCCGTCCCCAGTCTTCTACACAGCGATGGTACTATGCCCACGAACTGCCACAGCAAGAGGGAGGTGCCACTCTTGGTTTTCCCAATCACCGAAACTTAGTTTTGAGCAAGACTCGTTTGCAGTCAAGCACTCTGAAACACTCATCAGTCCTGTCAACTGCATCAATTCTGTCCCCTTCCTCTCTGGACTTCACTCGCTCAAGTAACTGTGGAACCTTCTCTAACTCATTTATGGAGCTATGAGGTTCCCTTTTCGCGGTCCTCAGAGTGCACGGGGTCTCGGGCATGCGTGGCAAGCGCTCCACTACTGAGCTCATCTCCAGACCTAAGGCGGTCTTCCCAAAACAGACCTAAGGCGGTCTTCCCAAAACATCGGCCTCAGCTTCCCAGACTCAGGCCTCACCCATTAGCACAGAAGTTACAACCAAGCTCTCCCGGATCCCTTTTGGTTCCTTTCTCAGTTCTCTTACCAACTCTGGAGCTTTATACGTCTAAGCCAAGATATGCATGCTGTTTTTATCCCAGCTCGCATTTCACTTCCTCCAGAAAGGTTTCTCGGAACTCTGAATCATTAAGATTGTGTGGCTGTTCCTGAAACGTATTTTACCGTACCGTTTCTCTCTCATTGCCTTTGTCACACTAATGCACACTTCAGCTGTCCCCTTTACTAGACAGCTATCTTGGTGCCAACCTGGAATGTACCTTTTCACTGTTTTACCTGACCTATGACCAGCACGCACTAGTGACACAATAAATGGCTGAGGCACGAGCGCGTGCCTGACAGAATACTTAGGTGAGGAAAGTGAACACCTGTGCATTCTGCTTTCATGACAGCCCAGGGACGAGACTGAGACCGCGGGCACCCGGCCTTCACTGTCGCCACCTCCCTCGTCTGGAGCCCTGTGCTTCACGCCAGGCCGCGGAAGCTGCTAGTGGAGGATGGTCAGGTCAGGGTGCTAGAGGTCAGAGACCGATGTTCGCTGGCCGTCCACAGTTCAGAACTCTGGGCGAAGGAGACTGTGGTGGGGGGCAACATGGGTGGGGTGAGAGGACGGGATCACTGCGTCATCCTCCAAAGACTCGATCTCAACAGAAAGCCCTTCCTTGTTCCGTCAATACAATCCCATAACCATGAGCAGAACACATAATGAACTGAAAAGTACAAATGAAGCCAGTACTTCTAACTGGGAGCTCAGAGACCAGTCCCTGTAGACACAGCATCCAAGAAACTCTGGGTCATCCCGACGAGGCACTCACCCTCGAGTTTCTTCTTCACGACTTCTCCCCTTCTGCGTTTTAATCCACTGTTCCAACTGCTGCATGGAGTTCGTTCTCTGTATGACGCGCTCGGCCTCCGGGTGCAGGGGCACCGTGCTGGGGTGATTTCCACCTCTCAGATCTGCCAGGCTGACGTTCACGGTTCTGTGCTCCGAGCTGCTCACGTTGACTGGCCGGTAGTGCGCCATCTGAGCTGGGCACGCGGGCCCACCGTCATATTCAGATGGCAGAGAATTCAACTTTACACTATTAATTTTTGTTAAAGGTCTATCTTGACCATCCTTCTGAAATCCATATTTTTCAGCTTCTAATGCTTTTTTTTCTTCAAGTTTGCTTATCTCCTTGTTTCTTTGGTTGTTCTGGGCCTCTGGTTTAATTAGCACTCTATGGTTGGGAATGTTATTTGTTTCTTTAGTGGGTGCACTTTCAGATGTAATCTTGTCCACTCTGAAAACAGAAGAAAATCACAGTAAGTCAGATGACTTAACACACGTTACATCTGGGATTCAATCTAGAAAAAAAAAGCAACTATGAAAACAGGCAAACAAACCAATCCAGAAAGCATTACAGAAGACAAGTCTGCCCAAATCCTCAAAGCTATGGTATTAACATAAATACAACACCAGAGAGCATAAACAGCAAGAGGAAGAAGACATGAGCAGAGACTACCAGAGGATAAAAAGTGATGTGTGTCCTGCCATGAGATTATCTGGAAATAAAGCAAATGACATTTTTCTTTAACAGTTAAACCACAAAATCCACATTTTAAGGACTGTACTAGTCACTCACTGGAAATAAGCAACACAGCTCCCAGCCATGGGGGTTAGCTCATTTGGAGCCTGGGTGTTGAAAGGGCGGCAACAGGACATTAGTCTGATGTGTCAGAGACTGGAAGTACACGATTAGCTCTCTTTGCTCGCATGCAGGACCTAAGTTTGGCCTTAGACTTTAGGAGCCAAGCTACACATGTTCGGTGTGCAGCTCTCTCTTACCAGCTGTCTGTGGGAGAGGCGCAGAAACTTACCAGTGCTCCACTTCTGCTTTGGTAAACAGGTAAAGCTAGGACGGCTGCTGTGAGAACCAGATGGGTGGTCGGTGCCTGGCACAGCCCTTACTAGCACTCCTGTCCCACTCATCAAGCAGCTGTGGGGTAGGACCTGGCATCCCGGTCCTGGCCCACCAAAACCAAGTGCTACTTAGCAGTGCGTGTGTGGGCCCTGGACAGCTCGCTACTCACCACTGCGGCTGCTGTATCTAGGACTTTCGGTGAGTCAGCTTTCCTGAGCCTGACAGGATCAAGCTGAGTGTCTGAACCTGCACGAAACTGCCGGGCTCAGGCCACTCAGGTGGCTGCTGAAGAGCTGGCCAATAGTCCCATCTCATTGCACAGGGATGCTCCTAGCAGCTCCTAAGTGTGGGCTGTGTGGAAAATACAAACATCCGTATCTAACTGTAAGGGAAGGAACAGAGGGTCTACAGATAGTTTAGAATGTGGTCACCGAAGAAAAATGAACGGTGCTTGTTTTCCCTGGAGTAAAGTTATACACTAACTATATATTCAAGTTAGATACAAACCCTAGTTTCCAGATCAGAAACATCAGACACTGCTCGAGTCTACCACAGGCTACAGTGCATCTTCCCCTTGAAAGATAACGTTCACAGAAAATGTACACTAAAAGCACACTTATATCCTTGCTAAAATCTGGGAGTAGGGTAAAGGCTGTTTAACACTGAATATTAAATATCTTTTTTTCCCTCTTTATTTGGTGGTACTGGGGATTGAACTCAAGGAGTCCTGAAATATATGCCAAGCCCTTCCTATTTATGTAAGTGTTTTTATGTAAATGTTTTTATGTTTTTATGTTGTTCAGACTTCCCTCACTTGCAATTCTCCTGTCTCAGCTTCTCCAAGAGCTGGACGACATGTGTGTACCGTATCTGACAAAAAAATTTAAGCCTATTTCTTGCCAGTCCATGTAAAATTACTACTGTAAATTGGAAGTGCAGTGCGTTTTCCCCTTTTTTTTCCTCCCAATAATTTGATATTGAAATACAATAGAATAAGACACATGGTGATGCCTCTGCTAAGATAACATAACTAATGAACACTTGTGATTTAGTTTTAAGAAGTGACATTTAAATTATTACAGAAAACACACTGAAAACTAGTGTAGTCTATGGAAAATGGTATGGAGTTTCCTCAAAAAACTAGAAATAGAACTGCCAAAAGATCTAGCAATTCTGCTTTTGAGAATATGCTCAAAGGAACCGAAATCGGTATGATGAAGAGACATCTGCACTTGAATGCTGACTGCTCATAAGAGCCTAGGAACGGGATCCACCCAGGTGTTTACCAGCAGATGAATAAAGAAAAGATGGTGCATGGACACAATGGAACATCACTCGGCCCCACAAACAGTGGCTGCTGTCATTCGCAGCAGCACGGATGGAGCTGGAGAGAATTACTACGGAAGGGAAATACGCAGACAGAGAAAGACCAACATCACAGGGCCTCACTTCTGTGTGGAAGCACACATGCTGATCTCCAAGAAGGACAGACTAGCACAGTGGTTAGCAGAATGTGGGCAGGGTGCGGAGGGGGCAGGAGGGAAGGACACGGACAGTGGGCCCAGGGTGCAGTGGACACCAGGAATAGCTCCAACTGTGCTGCAGCACAGGAGAACTATGGCAGCCTACAGCTTGTGGATACTTCAAAGCACTCATAGGACTCTGAATGTTTGTGATGTAAAGAAATGATATACATCTGATGGGAGAGCTAGGCCCCGTCTGATCAGTGCATGTTGTACACGTGTACTAAAATGTCACACCACATCCTGTAAGTATATATAATCACTACATGCTACTTAAAATGAAACATAGGACTGGTAGCACAATGGATCAATTGCCCAGCACGTGTGAGGTCCTGGGCTGGATTCTGACCGCCAGGGTGGGGGAAGGGAAACACAGGAACACACTCACAGACACACAGACGCGCGCGCATGGAAATACACTAAAATAATGGGCCTGGAGATGAAAAATTATTCAGGCAGTGTACACAAGAGGACTACGCATTGTATTTCATAGGTAAAATGCTTTATGAATTTAGAAGAAATGAACTATTTAAAAACTGGATGTTTTGCTGGGTGTGGTGGCACACGCCTGTAATTCCAGCACTCAGAGGCTGAGGCAGGAGGTTCACGGGGAGTTTGAGGACAGCCTGGGCTACAAAGTGAGCTCAAGGTCAGCCTGAACTGCATAGCAAGACCCTGACTCAAAAAGAAAAAAACAAAAACAAAAACAAAACAAAACAAAACAAAAAACTGGATGTTTTAATCTCTTATGTGATAGGCTCTCATAAGCATCTGATGTATTCTGGGCCCACAGCAAAGGGAGCCTATAATTGTTAAAAACATGCTAACAAAATTATCTCCTTATTTTAAAACAAATTACACAAGTACAGCTAGCAGATTGAAAGACGAAATTCATCAGGAAGTAGATAGTTAGGGACACAGAATCAACTAATTTAGAGGAGACTGCCAGAAGCGAAACCAAAGGACTGTGACCCTTATCTTTCCAAACTCTGGATATTGTAAGTTTTTAGAACAGGAAGTTCAATACAGGAAAGTAGAAATAAGCCGAAATTGAGGAATGCATAACAAACAATATTAAAATTACTTGGAAATAAAATATTTGAATTACAATACTGATTTCTGTATCCTAAATTATTCTTTTAACAATTTTACTTTAAAGTTAAAATTAGGACTGGGGACAGAGCTCAGTGGCACAGCGCCTGCTTGGCAAGTGCAAGGTCCTGAGTTCAATTCCCGAAATCCGCAAAAAAAAAAAAAAAGTTAAAATTAGCAAAAATTTTCAATTCATTGCTTCACCTACACATTTCTTTCATGCTCATTTAGATAATTTTTATACCCAAAACTCCAAAACTGCATTTTCCTCTTGTTGGCTCTCAGCCTAGGACATGCACCTGGCTGCAGCACATATTCTCGGACTGGATGTGCACATGGTTGAGATGATTTCTCTTAAAGATAGGTTTTCTACAGCTCTAACCCAAACCTTTTTATTCCTTCTTTCCATGAGTTGCCCTGCCTTTAATTACTAGTGATTGGTTAATTTGATTTGGATATTTATAAATACGGCACAAATGCACAGCATCGCCTTGTCTTTTAGCCAGCAAGGCAAGACCAGGCCCTAGGCTTGACCTCTAGTATTAGAAAACACACACACACACACACACACACACACACACTGCATACACACAAGGGGGAGATCAGACTTGTAAGTCAGCATCTTCCTCATATAAGATGTGTACTCAATATCACAGACTAAAAATACAATTCAGCTGTATCATAAATCTTACTTCAAATTACAGGAACGTAATTTTTTTGAAAAAGCACATTTATTCAACTTCTATTACGCAGTCTGAGAGACAGATTTCCTCTGACTAGTTTTGGTTTTTTCCTGTACCAGGAATCAAACTCACGACGCACTGCGCCACTGAGCTAAATCCCTGGCCCCTTCCTCTGACTAGTTTTAATACAAGTGACAAATATTACAATGATTCATGTCCAATCAATTTAACAGCACATGTCTGTATTATCAGTCAGTTCAGGGATTAGAAGCATGTGCCTCCTCACCTGGTTACACGTCTGTATTATCAAGGAATCTGAGTAACGGGGTTTTAGAGAAAGATGCAATTCATCAGGAAGTAGATATATTAAGATATATTTCAGTCAGGCGTGGTGACACAGGCCTGTAATCCCAGCACTTGGGAGGCTGAAGCAGGAGGATCACCATGAGTTTGAAGCCAGCCTGGGCTACATAGTGAGTTCAAGGCCAGCTGAACTACAGAGTGAGACCCTGCCTAAAAAAAAAAAAAAAAAAAGGAAAAAAAGAAAAAGAAAAATCTAAATGCTTGCTAACCTATTTTCTGTAGCTGTTCATTATAAAACCATCAGAATTAATCAGAAAAATTTAAAAAATGAAACCTCAAAATTTCTTACTGAATTTCTTAAATGTCAAAATAATAATAAAAACACAATTAACTTCATGAAAATAAATTCTAAATCTATGATCTTTGAAAAAACACTGGCTTGAAGGATTAAACTTTCTGTAGCTTTAAGATAACAATGAAAAATGTACTCACCGGAAATTAAAGGTAATTCTGAAAGAAGAAAGAACATTCAGTTTGAATGTTAGGATTCTAGGTTCACCCAGCACATTGATAGGTGAAAATGAGTAAAGAGGAAAGGTGGAATAAAAATGTGGGTGACAGCTTACACTCACAAAGGGCACATTAATTTACTATAAAACATAAATTCACCCTTGCTTTCCGGGGAAAATGGTTTCATACTATGATTACTAAAATGGCACGTGCTATGATAATGGTGTACTTGCAGGACATGGGACAAAATGGAAGTAGAGATCACTATTACTTTCCCTCCGAGTCTTTACCTTTTCACAGGTTCTGTCTGTACGAGGGCAGCATCCAACATGGCTTTCATCCACAACTCCATTTCCTTTCCTGTATCAGTGCAGAAATAATAGGTCCGCATGTTTGGGTGGGCTGCCTGATTAAAAACGACACGATCATTTTACCATAAAAACATGGGACTCTGCAAAAGAAAAAGGAAAAAAAGATAAGTGGTTCCTTACCTACTATCATGTTTCAAAGAAAGCAGGTTTGTCTTTTAGATAAAATATAGAATTGACTTACACATGTATCTTGTAAGAGTTATAGTATTATTTGTTTCCTCACTTTTCTTTTAGTTTATTTAGTTTATATGTGTACCATAAAAGTGCTTGACAATGAACAGATGTCAGACATGAAGTGCTTGGTGTTATCTGTTCTACCTGCAACATCTCAAGCAATTTTCAGTTATTGTGATTCATCCAGAGTATGTTCCAGAGCAGCCACAACATTAACGGAAATATACATGCTATAGCATTTTCTTCTTATGATAGCCATTTTTTCAGTCCTCAAAAGGTGCTACTGTTAAAATACTTTGCAGAAACCTTACAGACATCTACACACCAACATGAAAGATTTAGAAATGATTCCAAAATGGTATTTCCTCTTAGTTTTAAATTCCAGAGTTAAAATGAAATATCTTGGGTTCAAGATGAAAAAGGATTATATAACTGATTAGTAGATTTTTCTATCCCGTGATTCACTCCGTCTCTTTTCAGAGAAACACAGGGAAACAAAGGAAAGGGAATGCAAAGGAAGAGACTGCTACCAGGGTATGGGCACTCAACGCCCATCTTAAGCCCTGGGCTGCCATGGCAAAGACGAACAGCAGGAGCTAGAGCACCACAGGACAGGAAGCTGAGGTCGGGACCAAGGAAACAGTCTTGATTTCCTTGTTTGGTTTTTGAGACAGGGTCTCGCTCTAATTGATCCATAGATCATCAGATGAGAGCTCTAAGCTCCACGCCCGTGCTCAGTAACTGTCGACCGAGTTTGTACTCACCATGCGGATAAGCAGTCACATCAGTGCCACGGACTGGGTGAGAAAGCAGCTCAGCCGTTTGGAGCAAGCACCACAGAAGACAGAATGTGAAAGAGCAATTATTATTGTTGTTACAGATAAAAGCAAATACAAATTCTAAATACACATACAAAAATAGTGTTAATATTACAGTTTTACATGTGTGCTTTTGGAGTCAAAAGTATTAAACTTTTTTTTTTTTGGGGGTTTTCTCCAGTACCGGGAACCGAACTCACCACCTTGAGCTTGCCAGGCAGGCGCTTTTGCCGCTGAGCTAAATCCCCAGCCCCGAAAGTATTAAACTTTGATACAACACTTCTAAATATTTAAGTGCTTTTCTCATTTACCATTATTTAATAAAATATACTTGAATATGAAGCTGAGCTGCTCCCATCTCAGCCTCAGGTCTTTGCTCCAATGTATCTTCTCAAAGAAGCCACCCACTGTTAGACCCCTCTAACCCACACCCCTGAGGGTTTCCTCCTCTCTTGTCTCTAGAGCTAGTAACGTAATTACTAACTAGCCAAATGTTCTAAGTAAGATGGGGTCCTGAGAAGTCTTTAGAAGTAAATGAGAATTTAAATCTTTGCAGTAAACCCTCTACGGGTTCTTAAGAAATGGTGGACTGCAACAAAACAAAATAGCCAGGCACGGTGGTGCACGCCTGGCTGGTTAAGGAGGTGGCTCTCAAGCTCAAACACAGCCTGCCACTCTCAGCACGAGCCTGAAATCAAAAAGTCAACAAAGGGCTAGCTCGGTGTGAAGGCCCTGGGTTGCATCTCCAGTACCACAAAAACGAAACGAAATGAAACAAGCCAAAACCAAAACCAAACCAAACCAAGCAAAAATAAAAAGCCTCAAAGGAATAAAAAATACATAAAAATTATGAGAAAGGAAAACACACAAAAACTGTAAAGGAAAGTACAACGATCAGGGGACATCTACAGCTATAGTCATCAGTTATGAGCATTTTAATCTGTTTCGTCTAGAACCATCTGAAAGCACAGATGTGAAGACATCTGACCCCGGAGTATTTTCAGCATGTACTCTGTAAAGGGACATTCTCCTGTAAAGATCAACACTTTAGATAGAAAGGGATCACTTGCTGGGGATCTAGCTCAGCGGTGCAATGCTGGCCTGGCAAGCATGAGTTTGATTTCCACTCCTTTGTAATGATCTATGGATCAATCTATCTTTTTTAATCATGCAAATTAATTTCTTTTTTTCCCTCCCTCTCTTCCCAACCTGCCTGCTTGCCTGCCTGCCTGCCTTCCTTCTTTCCTTCTGTCTTTTTGAGACAGGGTTTCACTATACACTTCAGGCTGGCCTCAAACTCACATGATCCTCCTGCCTCAGCCTCAGTGCTGGGAATACAGGCGTGAGCCACCACGCCCAGTTTAATCATGCAAATTTCAAACAGAATAAAACAGCAAGAATATTACTTTACCTTGAAAGCGTATTTGCGATTAATGTGATCTTCAGAGGTAAGCAGAGCTATCTGAAAACTAGGTAAGAGTATGCTTCCCAGGATACCTTCTTCTTTCTCATCTAAGAGAGAATTTAGTATCAAATTAGAATTTTAAATGTTCTCATGAAGCAGAATAAATTTTCTCAAAATTTATTTGAATGAAATTAAATGATTCTTATATATAACAACTGTATTTATGATTATGTAGGTCTTTTTAAGATTTTATTTTTTTATTATTTTTTAAATTTTTATTTTAAAGAAAAAGGAACAAATGGCAAAAACCAAAAAAACAAAAAACAAAATCCCAAAACAATATGATAGGAGGGTAACAATGGTTAATACATTGGGTATTGTTACCTTTAGTTACTCAGAGTATGAGATACTGGCATTTAATTGTCCCAATAATATTAGTACAAACCTTTCTTTCAATGAACTGAGGGAAATTAGTATAACCATTTTAATTATCTTTTATTTATATATATATATATATATTTCCTTTTGCTTTTCCCTCCCTTCTTGTTTTCCACTCCCCTAAACCAGTTTCTCATTCCTTTTGAAGTTTCTACCCATTTTAAGTTATCTATTGTACATTTTGGATCACATTTACTCTTTCAGCTTCTTATACTAGGGAGACAATACGATGTTTACACATGTGGGTATGAGTATGGTCTCAAGTGGCATCCATTTACCTACAAAAGTCTCCAGTTTAACCTTCATTATGGCTGAACAATACTCAGTAAGTAAAAAGACCACTTTTTTTTAATCCATTCCTCTGTTGATGGGCATTTGGGTTGTTTCTAAGAATTTTTAAGATTTTAAATGAAAACATCAAATGGATATTTCTTTGCTTTCAGTGAGGTTCCTTAAGAATTTCTAAGCAAATAAAAAAATTTGCTTCACACATGAAAGACAATGCCATAAAAAAGCGGGGGAGCTGGGGATGTGGGTCAGTGGTAGAGTTCTTGCCTTGCATACACAAGGCCCTGGGTTCAATCCCCAGCACTGAAAAACAAAACAAAAAACAAAAATATGCCAGGTGTGCTGGTGCAAGCCTATAATCCCAGCACTCCAGAGGCTGAGGTAGAAGGATCATTGCAAGTCTGATCTTGCAATGGGCTACAAAAGTGAGCTCAAGGCCAGTCTGAACTTCATAGTGAGACCCTGTCTCAAAAAGAAAAAAAAGAAAAAGAAAGGCAATGCCACTTAGACAAAAAGAAATCACATCTTTCTTTAGCTTATGTGCTATGTTATATAAAACGTTCACATGAGGTTGACTGGAGATACAGTAGCATTTATGTAGGTAACAGTGTAGAAACCCTACGTGTGTAACGCTTTCACCACTCACTGTGATACATAATAAAGCTACTGACTCACAAGGACAGCACAGCAGCTGTGAATAGGAAACTGACACATTAAATTTTTTTTCTTTCCTTGTTTTTTTTTTTTGCAATGGCGGGGATTGAACCCAGGACTCCTGCACATACCAGCCAAGCACTCTGCATCTAAGTAAACTATATCCCTAGCACTGTCAAAACATCCATACTCACAGAGCACAGATTCACATTATTAACTTGCTGCTCGGGGGTGGTGAAATTTGAATTACATAGTTCACTGTTTTAGAACCATAAGACAAGTTAATAAGGCGTACATAAGGCTGATGAACTTCCCAATGAGAAAAACTAAAACCAGAAAATAATTAGTTTTATTATGCTTGCTGTGTTTTAAAAAATAATCACACATTTAACAGATTTTATTTATTTCCTCATTTCTAGAATATGATACAACTTCCAAAAGCAAAAAAGGTGCATTAAATGGAGGTTATTTCTATAGTTTTTCTCATAACAATAGACAAAATTTTTCTTTTTACTATACTGTGTTCACTCAGGTACAGTTCAGTAATAGAAAAAGGAATAAACAAAGCACATATTCATTCTGAAAGGCAAAAAAAGAGTTGGAAAGCAGTCATCAATTATGCAGAATTTAACCATTTGTAAGAGTCACATTCTAATTCTGAGTTCAATTTTGTTTACATGAAGGCTATCATCAGAAACAGCTTAAGAAGTCATCTTTAGTACGAAATCATTTTGATTGAATACCTTCTACTATAACCCTTAATAAAAATGATCTTTTAAAAGTTGCTCAGAATATGTAGAAGCAGTGTTGCAAGAAAGTGATTTCTTTCTTTGTTTTTCGTCTTTTTGAGACAGGGTCTCACTATGCAGTCAGGCTGATCTTGAACTCACTTTGTAGCCCAGGTTGGTCTTGAACTCGCAATGACCCTCCTGCCTCAGCCTCCCGAGTGCTGGGATTACAGGTGTGCACCACCACGCCTGGCAAGAAGGTGATTTCCTTGGATTACTGGGATTTGTTTTCCAGCCTGACACTAACTAGCTATGGGATCTGGGGCATAATTTTAATGCTTCATATACCGGTTTCATCACGAATAAAACTTAGGACTTCACTCACAGGACTGTTGTAAGGGTTAAATGAGTTAGCATAAAGAGCTCAGGACACAGTTACATTTAAATACAGTGGTGTTTTGGTTCATTAACTCATTTCTCTCCACAACTGTGGTTGCAAACCAAACTGGACGAGAACTGAGTCAAATCTCAAATTTCCCTGTAAAGTCAACATTGAACCTAAATGTTGAATTTGATTTGGCTCTCATACAACCCCTTTGTGACCAGAAACATGGAAAGAATCAAGTCCGTGAACTAAGGCACCACTGTAAATATTGCCATTATATAATATTAAACATAAATACCACCGTATATAAAATCCTCCTTGTCTGCCAATTGATCATCCTAAGAGTTCTTCACTAGATTTTTCAAGTACTCATTATAACTTTTTTTTTTTTTTTTTTTTGGTCTTTTTGAGACAGGGTCTACCTATGCAGTTCAGGCTGGCCTTGAGCTCACTTTGTAGCCCAGGCTGGCCTCGAACTCCCAACCACGCTCCTGCCTCAGCCACTCGAGTGCTGGTATTACAGGCGTGCGTATAATATTCTTCTGATAGCTCATCTCAAACCTATCCTAAGTGCTATCTTCCTTGCTAGCGCCTAGAATGCTCACACACTACCAAGCAATGTTAAGAAGGAAGAACAGCTTGTCACGGGCTAGCTGAGGCATGCTGGGGGTGGCGGTGGTGTTGGGAACTGAGCTCAGGTCTGCGTGCAAGTGCTCTTGTCCTGAGCCACAGCATTGCCTGGCTGGGGCCTTGCTGAGCTTACGTGGCAGCTTAGTGTCTGCTCCATTCTTCCTTCCCTTCCCTGCCACAGCCAAGAACGCTGCCCAGCGAGCCCCGTACACATGAACCCCCCACACAGCGTGTTTCTGAGGAAACACAACCCAGGACAGGAGCCGTAGGAATCTCAACATTTTACTGCCTCCAAGTGACACTTCAGATTCCTTATTTCTCCTTCAAAAATGTTTGGAAGCAAGAAAAAAGTACAGTGGAAACATTACTAGTTACCACTTCTAACCTGGACTGCTTCATACTGCTTCCTGGTCTCTCTCCTTCCGGGTCAAGGGTCAGTGTCTCTTTTCTAAAATATATATGCTTGATCCTATACCTCAGATCCTATTACTTAGTCTTGCATTCAAGAACTTCAATTCATTAGAATGACTAACAAATGCTCTTTGTTCTTTGATCTAATCATTAGCTATTTTTTTCTCTTGTAAATCCAGGACCTCTGCGCTGTGCTATATCCCAGCCCTTTTCTCTCGCTCTTTCTCCCTCCCTTGCTCCCTCCCTTTCTCCCTTCTTTCCTTCCCTCCTTCCTTCCTGCCTCTCCCCCTTTCGCTCGGAGACATGTATCTTTGAGATTATCTATCTATCTATCTATCTATCTATCTATCTATCTATCTATCTATTTATCTACCTATCTTTGAGACAAGGTCTAGCTATATTGCTAAATTGTCCAGGCTTGAACTTGAGATCCTCCTGCCTCAATCTCCCAGAGTGCTGGGAAAACAGATGTGTTCCCTGGCTTAATCTAACTTTGAAACCTTAACTGTTCCTGGGTCTTCAGACATAACTTTCTTTCCAGCAGGTTAATCCCTGGTGTAGCTTTACAAATATATGAAGCACACTCCTGCTGTGCCCATGCTAAGTCCTCCATCCAGATTACCTTCCTTCCTCAGCCTTCCCGATACAGGAAAGAGTGCCAACACTTATTTACCATAACTGAGCACTTGCTTCAGATAACCTGTGAGCTCCACTGAGGATGGGTATATTTTCTTCATTTCTGCGTCCTACGGCCCGGCCCCATCTGGTCTCTGGTGTATTACCTGAGCTCGCTGCCTTAGTTTGGGACGTCCTCCTCTCTATGCTGTGACTCCCAGCCAGCCTGTCACTTTCTTTCCCTTTACCATCTACCGGCCAATAGCAGCTGGAGTAAGCTCTTACAACGTGAAGTAAAGGACATTAGTCCTTATGTTTAGACACGTGCAACCGTTTCCTTTGTGGCACTTGGTGGCATAGAGTCCAGACTCTCCGGGAGTCCGAAGTCCACACTCCTGCCCACGGGAGCGCTGTCTCCCACTCTTTCCCTGGTGCGGCCCCTCGCTCGTACACTGCTAGCCTGGGGGTCCTTGGTGGTTCTCCTTCAACTTTCCACACGCTTTCTTAACTGACAGCCTCAGCTATACTCCTGCGCCCTGGCCGGCAGGCTCTGCCTGCTCTACCTCGCCCTGCCCCTTCCGATCTGCATCTAAACCCCTGCTCGGAGGACTCACTTGAAGAGACTTTTCTTCTAGGTGCACTTCTCATAGTATGACCACAGTGTCCTAACAGTACTCACCATGGCTTTGTTTACTTATCTGAGCTAATTTACCGTTTCCCTGAGGGCTGCACATGGCCAGTGTCATGACAGATTGCTTGCGCGGCTATTTTGACAACACCTGGAATGAAGCAGGGCCCGCTCAATGAACACCTGATGGCTGAACCGAGCCCCGCGGAAGGTTTTCAGCACAGTGACTACAGAACAGTGCACTGGGTACGACCAGCAGCTCGCTAGACGCCTGCTCTGTGGCAGAACACAGGGAACCTGGGCTTCCACCTGGCATCATTTGCTAACCTATCACAAAGAGTAACAAATGATTTATTCTCTGTCCTATATTCCATTTCTGTAAAATATGGACTGATCTGCCAAAAATTTCTGACAGCACACTTTGTCAGGAGCCTTGAGAGACACAAGAAATGAAAGGTTGCTGTCCTCAGCAGATAAGAACAGAATACCTAAGATGTGGGGGCAAAAACTTGTGACTACGGGACTGGCCCTGACACTACAAGGCCTGGTTCAAATTCCTGCTCTGCTGCTTGTCCAGGACCCCAGCCAAGCTCGCTGACTTCTCTGCCCGTCAGTTTAGTTTGTGTAACACGCATGCAGTAAGACAAGGTGGGTGTGCGGATGAGCTCAAACAGGTCAACTATACAACGCGGTCAGCACGGTGCCCAACTTATAGTAAACATGCCAAAAAACGCAAGCTATTATGATCATCTTGCTAAAACTCCAATAGCTTTTATTTAAATTTTGACATTTGCTGTTGATACAATTTTGAAGTGAGTCCAGTACTCCAGTAGATAAGGAGGACAACTGTGAGCTGGAGGACAGTCTGGAACACAATGGACCCTGTCCCAAACAGACAAAAAAAGAAACTGAAAATTTAAAAACGCATACTGGACTTTTCTAATACTCTGAAGAGCAGAAGTGAGTTAAATTATATTTTTTCTTTCTATATTTTTTCCTTTTGTGTATTTCTCCTGGGTGGGAAATGAAGATTAATGAACCCACTGAAGATAAAATGCAGGTAGTTGATAATATTAAAGAATCTCATACTCAGCACGGCTTCTGAGCTCATCTTTATATTTCCCAAATGTGATTAAGTTTTTCTATTATGAGCCGGGCGTGGCGGTGCACGCCTATAATCCCAGCACTTGGGAGGCTGAGGCAGGAAGATAATGACTTCAAAGCCAGCCTGGGCTACATAGTGAGTTCAAGATCAGCCTGAACTACATAGGAAAACCCTGTCTCAAAAAAAAACCAACTCACCCCTAAAAAAAGCTTTTCTATTATGATAGAAGTAAAAATCAGAAACAACAGCAAAATACAAGAAATTATGTTTTCATTTTGTTATAAATTATAAATTTAATTCTAGCACTCAGGAGGCTGGGACAGAGGGTCACAGACATAGGGCCAGCCTAAACTACATAGCAAATTCAAGGACAGTCTGAGCTACACAGCGAGATCCTGTCTCAAAAATACAAAAACAAAATTTATATTTGAAATATTAGAAAGAGTAAACACTTTCTTGTTCTCATTTTAAACTATGTCTATAAGTGTACAGACAAAGAGGAAAGCACAAATTACAACCTCAGGGATAATGCCTGAGCAACAACTCCTAGCTTTCTGAAATACTGGAAAACTTTTAGGGAAAATTATAGAGTGAATTTGGCATTCAACTAAAGATAATACCACAATTGATGCCTGACCAATATCTGTACGACAAAATAAAATTTTATAGGTTTGGTTAATTCTGACTCAGCAGTACTTCTAAGCCACAGTTTGCTGGAGAGTAAAATGATAGAAATAATTCTAGCATTTCCAAATTGTAAAGCTTAACGCGTTATATTACTCTGATAGATGACTGTAGAATTTTGCCACACATCTTTAGTATAACTGAAAATTAAATTTTAGTATATATTGCAAACATGTGCTAATAAAAATAAAACCTAAAAAAATTAAAATTAAAAGTATTAATTGGTTCCAAACCTTTTGTTATAACTTGTGATTCATATTTCTAAATAAAGGTTAGAAGTCATTTTATTTATTTATTTTTTTTTGGTATCGAGAATTGAACTCATGACTTCAGGCTTGCCAGGTAAATGCTTACGCCGCTGAGCTATATCCCTGGCCCAGAAATGATTAATTATGAGTTGACAATTTAATTCTCTTTTTCTTTGTCTTTTTGAGACTGGGTCTCACTGGCTTTGAACTCACTTTGTAGCCCAGGCTGTCCTCTAACTCATGGTGATCCTACTGCCTCAGCCTCCTGAGTGCTGGAATTATAGGCATGTGCTACTATGCCTGGCTGACAATCTAATTCTTCAGTGACAGTTTCCAATCAGATTGTAAAGCAGTCAAGGAGAGATGGCTCAGATTCATGGTTCCATGTGTCAGCCAGAGCAAATTTTGCTGAACCTATCTAGGTTACCTTTTACTGGCAACAGCTTGTGTTAACTGAGAGATTCCTGGCACACACAGAGACTTTTCTGGACTTTTATTTAAGACGGCAGTAATGAGATGAGCGCAGCGGCAAGTGCTTGTAGTGCCTGCTGTTCGGGAGGCGGAGGCAACAGATACTTGAGTCCAGGAGTTCGAAGCCAGGCGGGACAAGTTAGTGAGACCCTGTCTCTGGAATTTCTGCTCTCCATACAGGGAATGAAGACTACTCTTCTGTGCCTCAGATGACACCTGCACCCACTTCCTGCCAACGCTAACAGCAGGGCACGCGTCTCTCACGCGACTTTCTCCATGTTTCAGGGTGGTTATCACTGCTCTTAAAAAGAAAGATTATTTATTTATTTTTTTGGCACTGAGAATTGAACTCAGGACCTTGCGCTTGCCAGGCAGGTGTTTGTGCCGCTGAGCTATATCCCCCAGCCCAAAAAAGAAAGTTTGAAAAAATGTATTTTCCGCTCTTTCTGTTTTATTCATCCCCAGTACTCCTGACCCACTTGCTGGGGTGCTGAGCTGCATGCTGAGTGGAGCCACAGCCACATCTACAAAGCTGGGAAGAAGCTCATTTCACTAGGCGGCTGTCTGCTGGCCTCTGCTCCCAGAGACAGCAACAAACACATTCTTCATGCAAAAGAAATCAGAGTACAGGAACTAGACGAAAACTTGGACTAATTTGTCTTATTTCACACCTCGGTAACTTCTAATCATAGATCAAAGAAGCATCAGAGGTCTTGGCACTATTTGCTAGTAATAAAACAGCAAAAATGCTAATTTTTTCCTTTAAAACATTATACAACATTTACCATGATTATAAAATAATGCACTAAGAGAGTATGGAGTATACTCACCTCTGTAATAAAAGAGGCAAAGGTCAGAAAGCACGAACCAGCGTTTCTTCCACAGCCTCATGCCAGTACTGTCCTGCATTAATATTAAAGACATTCTTCACTTCAGACAGTTAAAACCCACTTCCAGGGAAAAGAGGCTTTTAAAACAAAATATCTTTAACATGTGCATAACATAACCAAACTAAACTAAACCAAACTAAACATAAACTAAACTAAAATTTGGTCCATCCAAATTTCAGGGTACACAGTTTCAGTTAGAATAAATAAACTCTGGCGTTCGGTTGCGAAGTAGTGACAATAAATAATGATGACATATGGCATATTTCCAAAAAGCTAGAAGAAAGGACTGTGTTTGCACCACAAAGAAATGATAAATACAGTATTTGAAGAGAAAGACATGTTTCTCATTTTGAACATTACACACTGTTTATGGAAACATTACATGGCCCTCCCATAGAAATATATGTAATTTTAAAGTGTGGATTTAAAGAAAATTTAGTGGCAGTTTTCTAAGGTCACAGGAAGAGATACTGACTAATCTCTGAAGGGTAATAATGCCATGTAGAAGGAATATGTTGAAATACTTCGACTGCGTTTCATACTTGTGAGCAATCTGAAATCTACTCTCCCAAACACATAGGCCTGCTAGGATGGCAATGTTGGAACCAGCAGTGGTGTATGCGCTCTGGGAAGCCAGATTTAATAAATATGTTAATCTTCAATAGGAAGCAAAATATGTGAACTGAAATTATTCCAAAGATATGCTAATGTAAAATGACCATGAATAAAGAAACCCTAACAGAATTCATTTCATGAACACTTTTTTCTTATATCTACAGTATAGGTGGGTTTTGCTCAGGCTGCAGAAAACACTGTGTGGCAGCTAGTTCTAAGTAATTTAATTCGTAAAAGTATGAAGCTCAATCAAAACTATAATTTTAACACAAATGACTTTCCTCCATGCAATAAAGCAAAACTGCAAGAGAAAATTAAACAGACACTCCAAAATGCAAAATTGAGGCCAGATTGGATAGGCACTGATTAATACTTCTTAACTGTGACAATCACACAGCTTTAGCTTTAGAACAACTGAAATTAATGTGGGTTCAAAAAAAAATCCCTGAATGTAAAAGATTTGCCCTTAAAATTACAGTTATCCCAAGGAAGAGACCAAACAAAGCAAAATGGAAATGCAATGGTATATGGTGTTTTCAGTTTCTTAATTACATTATCTTTGAGTTATATTTACATTTTTTGGGGGGTCATTTTGAGACAGGGTCACGCTATGCAGTTCAGGCTGGCCTTGAGCTCACTTTGTAGCCTAGGCTGGTCTTGAACTCACAATGATCCTCCTGCCTCAGCCTCCCAAGTGTTGGGATTACAGGTGTGCTCCACCATGCCTGGCATGTACATATATTTAGGGTTGAAGATTTTTTTTTTTGGTACCGGCAATTGAACTTAGGACCTTGTGCTTGCCAGGCAGGCGCTTGTGCTTGCCAGGCAGGCGCTTGTGCCTCTGAGCTAGGTCCCTGGCCCTTACATATATTTATATATTTACGGATTTTTTTTTTTTTTTTGAGACATGGTCTCACCATGTAGCCCACGCTGTCCTTGAACTGGTGGGAATCCTTGTGTCTTAGCCTCTCAAAGTGCTGATCTACAAGCATGCACCACCGTGCCCAGTTTTATATATTTTTAAAATTAACATATAAGTTATAAAATAAACCTTTATGCTAGAGAAACTAGTCGGTAGCACTTGTAATACTATACCAGCCAAGAGATCAAGAAACACGAACAAGTCCAGCACTTGGGAGGACAGGGCAGAAGGGTTTTGAGTTGAAAAGTAGTTAAAAAATCAATACAGAGATTCTTCTCTTAGAAATTAACCTTGCAAAAACCTTTTAGTTTGGATAAATTAAAAGACAGATAGATAAAATACAACTAACTTTAAAATAAAGATAATTTGTTGTCCAAGTTACAAATCTAATCAACTCAGCGAGACACTGGTAAAATTCATTCACATTGAGAATTCTCTGGATTTTAAGAAGGTCCTCTTCTAATACATTAGTTAGCTGCCACCCCACTTTCAGGTGAAATAATCTCTAATAAATATTCCACAGCAAATTACTGAGTTTCAATGAATAAAAATAAGTAGGTCAGCTGAAAGCAAACAACAGTATTTTAACAGAACAGGTTGGCTCCATCAATGAATCTATCTTTATTTTTAGCTGGCTCATGGTACTTGTACATTTTTATGGGATGCAGTGTTACATTTCAGTGCATGTATGGAATGTGCTCATGATCAGACCAGGGTAACTGGTATATCTATTGCCTCACATAGGTATCGTTCAATAAACTAATGTTGAACTTCCTTTTTATCTACATATATGTACAGTAAGAGAGAACCAAGCCAGACAAAGGCCGTAAATGTTAAGCGTCTCTCAGTTATGTGGCAGTTGCTTATCTGATATCCAGCTGTAAGTGGGAAACGAAACAACAATTTCAAAGCAATTAAAAAAAAAAAAAAGGATGCCTAAGTCCAAGGGGATAATGCACATGTATGTTTAATTCCAGAACTAATGACAAGCTTCCCAGAGACCTTAGTTATCCAGCTTCCCAGACAGTACAATATAAACCCCAGCTATCAAGACGTCTGACAGTGAGCCATGTTTGAGCAGTCAAAGCAAAAAAGAAAAAGGAGCTGTAAAAATCTCAAATTATTATCATATTTCTACTGAGAGGTTAGCATAGTATTTCTAAGATGTAGCATATATTTAATTTTAAATCTAAAAATACATATAACAAGCACAGCCAAACAATCTCTGGTCTGTGTAACATCCACTCTCTGTCCTTTTTTCTTGACTCTCTTCATGGGTAGTAAAAGTCAAAGAACATGGGTGATGACTCAACAGTTCCTTCTCCATTTTATGTAAGTTTATATAACTGTCTTAGCAACATTTAGCCCAAGACGTTCCTTTTGATTCCACCTTTTGCTTCATATCAAATGAGAGGGGGAAAAATACCTGTTTATAAAGCCAACCTCGTCTGACCACAGGTGCATTAGGGTTCCGTTTAATTGAATTTGACCTCTTTCCAAAATTATGTACTTTTTTTGAAGACCGTGAAGTCTAAACAGAAAAGAGCATGACACAAAATGAGGTATTAATTTCCAAGGAACTGACTGGAATTTTCATTTTTATAACTCATCTTTTTTCAGATTTCCCTAGGACTTGTAGGAAAAGTAAATTATTACAATCCACTTTTGCTGGCTGAGTTGTTCCAAGTGTAAGAATTCTACATAAAGAATTCTCTCCCAGGATATCACAAAGAGATCACAGGTTTTACAACCATTTAAAATCTGGATATACATATTTTAAAAGATACAGTATGTACCAGTATTTTGTCCTATCTGCTTTATAAAATAGACTTAGTAAAAACTGATAATAAATTAAAAACCAAACAGTAGAACTTTTTGCTTTATGTCTGCATTTAATAGTGTTTTAATTAAAGGAAGTTAACAGTATTAAGTCAAGGAGAACTACTCAGGTACTAAATATAAACAAACACATCACATCAAGTCAAAGCAAGACTGCAAGAACCTACTTAATGTCTTTTTTTTTTGTTTTGTTTTGTTTTTTTTCTGGTACCGGCAATCGAACTCACGACCTTGCGCTTGCCAGGCAGGCGCTGTGCGGCTGAGCTAAATCCCCAGCCCCTCTACTTAATGTCATACAGTGCTATTTTCTTTGTAGACATCTCTGAACTTCAATAATGCCAGACAGATGGTACTTGCTCTTGAAGGTACACACAAGGATATACAATCGCTTGAAATACTGTCATACTTCGCATGAGGATTTATTTTGGCAGGAATGGCAGTGGTAATCACTAAACATAAAAACAGTGCAGCCGAATTTGAATTTCTCTATAAAATAATAGGTAATATCAAATTATTTCTTAACTTTTCAGCTTATCTCAAATCTTTGAAGAGACCGCATAGCTCATCAGGCTTTTTTGGGAGACGTTTTTGTTAGTACGTAATAGAACTGAATACTCAGTATCAACAGCATTTTCCGAAATTATTTTTAAACAGATAATGCTTAGATTCGTATAAAGCTCAATGGTATGAAAAGATAAACCAGGACCAGTCTGCTTCTCAGACCTAGGCTCCAGCACGCAGGAACCCCACACTTGTGAAGTCGCCAACATCGCTGTGCGCATGCGCAGGCCTAGCCACCTAGAAGGACTGCTCTCACAGTTATTCCACAGCTTAGTCTTCTCATGTGACTGCACACATAATGCTCAGTCTTCTGTTCCACCACTTATCACAGCTCGCTATATAAAGAGAACGCCTATTTGCCTACACTACTGTCAACATGCTCTGCCGTAAAACTTTTTGACCTCTGTGAAGCTTTTAGGTGTAAATGGTGTCTTTTCTGATTATAACTATTATTTTTCTTATTATGAATGAGACTGAGAATCTTTTTCATATATTTAAACAGTACATTCCATTCTCTTTTCTGAGAATTGATTTTACATAATTTGTCTATTTTAAAACTCGGTCACAAGCTTTTTTCTTATTGATTTATAGCAGTTCTGTAATTTTAAAGGAATGATTCCTTATTTTCATTATTTTATATTACTACTTTTGGGGTTTATGTCATATTTCAAAAGCTCATCTGCAATGAGCAGATGCTGCTACTTCTGTTTTTTTTTTTTTAGGCAGGGTCTTGCCATGTAGGTCTGACCAGCCTTGAACTCACTATGTAGCCCAGGCTGGCCTCGAACTTGCAGCAATCCTCCTGCCTCAGTCTCCCAACTGCTGAGATTACGGGTGTGTGCCACCATGCCCAGCATTTCTTCTTCTCATTATCTATTTTCAATCATAAATTGTTTTTTCTAGCCTCCTATAGTATTGTTTTTAACATTTCAACAACTGATCCATCTGGAAAATTCTGGATATAAATTAGAAGCAGAGGTTCAACTTTCTAGACAATGATTTAGCGGCCTTCAATCCATTTTTCTTATCATTTCTCGAGATCTTAATTAAGATATATTAAGCACTGTCCTCAGTTATGCTTTTCACTGTCTTATGTTACTAAGAAATTAATGCTACTTGAAAATTTATCTTAAACATCTCAACTATAAATGATATTGTAGTTGTCTACTATTTATTTTCTTCCAATAAACATCATTTATTACTACAGTTGTCTTACTACGATAAAATACATGTTTTCTACATCTAGGCTTTCATATCATCAGAAAATCGAATTTCTAGGCTATTATATTTCCTCCCCTTTAAAACAAGTCGGTTCAATAAAGTGCTCATTCTTTTATGCAAATACCCGTATTTGTAAAATTTCAAAATCTGAGCTTGGTAATCTAAAAAATGTCACTAAGTTACAATCTTACTACTTTAAATTTTAAATAACCGATCCTTACATCAATTATTTCTAACATAATAAATCCGTGTAACAATTTAAAATGTGATGATCATCCTAGAATTCCAATTAGAAGTCTATTATGAGCAATAACAACAGACCCTGCTACCGCTTCTCAACAGTCCCAGCAAGCAAGGTAACTCACTCGTCCTATGGGGCTCATCGGATGCACAGCGTACTCCGAAGTCATGCTGTGGTTAGAAGCTTCATTTATCATACTTACAGGCCGTTCCTTCTTTTCTTCAGATGTCATTGTCGCAACGGCCCTAAAAATACAACATATGAAATGCTAGGGCTTGCTTTATTTAAACTTTTGTGTAGTAGTGCTTCCCTGCAGTTAACTACCAGATGCTCTTTTTTTCTTTCAAAAGAATTAGATACAAGTTACTATAAAATAGTATTTACAACTACTTTAAATATTTAGCACATTTTAGTCATGTTTATTTTAACAGCATGGTTACAGATACTCTACTTGGTCATCCAAATGGAAAATTAAAACTGAATGAAAAGGCACTATGAATGTGGCTCAGAGGTAGAATGTATGGTCAGCGTGCACAAGGACCTACATTCAGTTCTCATCAAAAATGAATCACAAGATCAACTATTTTCATATAAAATTAACTGAAATATCAAATTAATTTTTTTGGTATCAGAAACTGAACTCAGGACCTTGTGCTTGGCAGGTAGGCGCTTATGCCACTGAGCTATAACCCCAGCTCAAATTAATATTTATGAATAGCTTTGTAGTTTATAAAATATTTTCATCCTTTAACTCCAGTTACCTGTGAGGCTGAGGCAGGATGTTCAAAAGTTCAAGGTAAGTGTGGACAATTTAGGGAGATCCTGTCTCAGAATAAAAACAAAAAGGGCTAGGTATGTAGCTCCTTGGTACAGTGCTCCTGAGTTCAATCTCAACTACTATAAAAATGAAAACATCTTCAGATCTCTTTCTCTGGATGATTACAAAAATCCTGGCAAATGGTAATTACAACCACCCCCAAATTAAGGATAAGAAAACTGAGTTCATTTTTTTTTCCCTTTTTGAGACATGGTCTTGCTCTGCAGTTCAGGTTGGACTGTACTCACTTTGTAGCCCAGTCTGGTCTCGAACTTGCAAAGATCCTCCTGCCTCAGCCTCCCGAGTGCTGGGATTACAGGCGTGCGCCACTACGCCCGGCGAAAACTGAGTTCAAATTAATTTAGTAATGTGTCCAAGTGTGCAGTTTCTCTAACTTGTGTTCTGGGTTTGAGAGCCTTTTTCCTTTGTTTCAACTCTTACGAAAACTAGCTTCTAAAATTAGATTCCTTGAGAAAACGAATTTTTTAAAGTCCCATTTCTATGACACAGTGAACAGCTGGCACTCCGTTCTACCTGACTGCAACGTCCAGATAAGCAAACTATTAAACTGTACTATATTAAATATGGACCACTGCAATCTCAGTGCAGACCCCACTATAAACACAGCCATTCCAGGAAACTTTACTTACTGTTCATTTACGACAAAAATACAGTTGTCCTGCGATGGCTGTCCTGTAACTGGGTGTTTGCAGGTCACTTTCCTTTCATTATGGCTGAAAGAATAAAGGAAAAAGAGAACATGTAGTTATTTTTTTTTAAATCACAAATGCTTTTCTGATACTTTGAAAGCGGAACACACATTTCTTTATTGCAATGTTAAAGTTCTGGAACAAAGGAGATGAAATTCAAGCCAGCAACCTGATGAGATCCCAGAACACCTTTTCTACTGTGACGTGGGTGCGTATTTGTGTGTGTGCCACTTATAGCTTTACAATCCCACGAAACTCACTCCGCTTCCCCTGAGCTCACTTCTCGCTATTTAATAAAGGTGTGCCGACTTGCTTCACAGTAACTATTTTACATTTCATAGGTGGGCCATGAAAAATAAGTTTGATTTCTAGCTACCTTTACTATATTATGGCCCCACCTGGGTGAATTAAAGACTTAATGGCAAATTCATATATGGAAAAATATATCTAATATTACTAAGGTATCAGTACATTAAAAAACAGAAAATACCCTGGGTAAACAACGAATCACATCATTTCTGTCTACAAAAGCATCTTTGTATGAATAAATGTAGAAATACGAAGAGAAAGAATAATCTTTGTTATGTTTATTAAAACACATGCTTACTAAAATATGCTTCCTATGTGTACTAAAATAATCCTTGTCATGCTTACTTCAAATTAAAGGATGACTATTTTTGGAGACCAACACTTTTGTCTAGGAAATATTACTCTTTATGTCGAATGATAAGATTAGATTTCTTACTGTTTTCTTGAAATGAGAAGAACAAGACTAAGTGAAAATATTACATGGCCCAAATAATATGAAATATATGTTGGTAAATCGTATACATTGTTATCTATAAATTAATAATTTTTCTATTAGGTCGCATTCCATAAAACCACCGGCTGGAAAGAGCTGTGGTCAGTGGGCCTGACCTTAGAAAATTTACTGTTGTTATGGAGACAGTGGTCAAGATGTAATATTGAGCGTCACGGCTTTCTCAATGCCAGAAGACCCTGGCACGGGCTCTGGGTCATGGCAAGTCGTCACCCACACGCTGTAAGCTCTGCTAAACACTTCAGTTTTTCCATGTTCTAACTTCCATTTAACTGCACTGAAATATTATCCATAAAACTGAAGCCATGTAAAAGGTACAGATATAGTTTTAAAAAACTACGTATTGAGTATTGGAACACAGAATGATTAATGGGATACATTATATATCTTCACTCTTTGAATATACACAGGACTTGAAATTACACAACTCTTGTGCTTTTGTCTGTTTAAAGAGATTTAATAGGTAGTAAAAGTTGCTGAGTTTGGATATCTGTGGCACTGTTTTCAGTGCATAAAAAGTATGCCAATCATTTTCTTACCCACTGATTGAAAAAAACCCAACAGTGCTAACTAAGGCTTCATGCGGGACGCGAGTTTATGTAATAAACAGTAACTTGATAACAGAGTAACACAGCAGAGCCTCTGGGGCTGTATTTCAGTACTCAAACGCGCTGCCCACACATGGAGCATGTATTTCCATTAGTCAGGCAATCTGCCCCCTCTACCCCAGGATGGGGCCGTAACCCGGGGCAGGGATTGGACACCTTCACAAGGAGGAATGGAGGCCGGCAGCTTTTGCAAAGCCTTGCCTTGAGAAGGAGGGGTCTTAAAGAGCTAGAGTCAACTGAATGGTAGACAAAACAGAAAAATACAAATTCTTTTTGTAGTGCAAAAAGACAAAAATCTCTCATTTGCTGCATTATTTCCCTATGCTGTGTCATTTTTCCTGAGAGGGACACAGGAGATTCTAATGCAAATGTTCTGTCACTGAATCCGACCAGGTCTCTGCGGTGGCTGTAGGAACTACAGGAAGGCACTACTCCGATCTGCTGCGTACCAGAGACTGGGGCACCCCCAGGGTGGATGTGGGCAGTGGACACATTTACAAAGGGAATGAGCTGGGTGCGGTGGGGGATGCCTGCAACAACCCCCGCAACACACACACACTCGGAGGCTGAGGCAGGACGACTGCAAGTTCGACACCAGCCTGAGCAACTTAGCAACTTAGAGAGACCCTGTCTCAAAATAAATAAAATGGGCTGAGGATATAGCTCAATAAGAGGCCCTGGTTCAATCCCTAGTACTAGTTAAAACAAAACAAAACAAACAATAAAACACTGAAACATTCTTTTCCTCAAAAGTAAACAATATTTCAGTGAAACTGACATTTTCAGTGTCCAAGCTTGCTTACTTATTTATTCAAGGCAAGGTCTCAGTTGGGATTTACACGGGCCTTGAATTTGGGGCCAGTCTCCTGCTTCAAACTCCCAAGTGTTGGGATTACAAGCATGGGCCACCATGCCCGGCCCAAGCACTTTTAAAATTGCAATGTCTTAAAGTAAAAGCAATAAATTAAAAAATCTTCAGATTCTGCCTTGGTTAGAGGACCATTAACTAAATCAAATACACCGACATAACAAAGGTCACCGCATGGTTCTCTAGTCATGACATCCAAAGTGAATGAAAAGTATAACAAACCGTAATATCAACTCCAGCTTTCACTGCTCAAAGGCAGCGAGTTTCCATCATCTTACAGGATGGACTGCCAGTCCTCACTGCTCATGTTTCACAAATTTTTTTTTGTACTAGGAATTGAACTCAGGACCTTGCGCTTGCCAGGCTAGTGCTGTGCTGCTGAGCTATATCTCCAGCCTTCTCATAAATGTGTTTTTGTACACACTTTTGTATACTTTTAGAATTTAGTTTAAATTTAAGAATCATCCCTCTTGGTCATGTCAGCATTTGCACTGCATTTTTACATTCATGTTGCACTTTAAAGTATTGCAACAGCAAAGGGCAAACATACTTCTAAAGCATTCAGGGAACCTAAGAATGACTTGAGCAAACAGAGCGTGCTAACAAATGAAGCTGCCACGGAGCCAGCTCTGTTTACATAAGGAATTCTTGACCCTGGGAGGCAGCTGTCCTGCTGCTACGTCCCCACCGCGGCCGTACCTGCAAGGAGGAGGGCAGGGGCTCATGATTCCTGGCTTTCAATTCTACCGAGACCTGTCCTTTGCATTATGTACAAGCCATATATTTTCATTTTATACTTGCCATACTTCTCGGTAGTTAATTAGGTTTTTTGAAAAAGTAATTGTTTTTGCTCTTGAAGGGCTTCAAAATTCTGATCAAGTATACCATCAGTTTTGCGGCAACACTTCTTTGGAAATGTGTTCAAGGTGATTCACACATTGAAGACTGATGTGAACATCATATAAATTGTGTGCTTCTGAATTATTTTGTGAGAAGCTCTCGGTGAATGCAGAAAACTGCCCCTCAGAGCCCAGCCATGCAAGAATCTGCAGGACCCGTGCTTGCACACATGTCAATCGTCTATTAGCCAGTACAGCTCGCTGGTTGCTTTGTTTGGTTTTTCCTTGTGGTACTTAAGATTGACCCAGAGGTTACCAGACTCACTATGTAGCCTAGGCTGGCTTTGAACCTGCAGCAATCTCCTGCCTCAGGCTCCAAAGTGCTAGGACTACAGGACTGTGCCACCACGCCTGGCTTCCCTCAGCCTCTTGAGCAGCTGGAGCCACAGATGTGTCCCACCGCAGCAGGGTTTTTGACTAGTGTGCTCCTAGCCCCATTCTCTCCTCAAGCACTGTGCTTTCCACTGCCTGGCACTACAGCGGCAGACTTTTAGGAATATACCTGTTGTGCTTTTTTAAAAAGAAACTGCACTATTACATACTAATAAGCCACTGTACTACTAAAAATGTTCTCGAACCTTTAATAGACACTGAAGCAAAACATTACTTTAAAAATTCTTTGCCAGAGATCTGCTGTCCTTCATGAGTGAAAAGGAGCGGTGCGCTGTGGCTCGGCGGCATGGCCAGTCTCCACACATGCTCTCTTGCACACGGCCCTCCGGGATGTCTGAAGTGCAGAGCAGCGGTACTCAGCCAGGGGCCCCTACCGCCCACAGGATGAGCGGCAGCCTCTGGGAACATTTCAGACAGTCCTAACTGGGGAGCTGCTACTGGAATCGCCGACCTAGGCAAGGGCGGGGCAAACATCTTAGAACACACAGGGCAGCCCTCCACGTCAGAGAATCGCTCACAGAGTCGTCAGTGCTGAGAAAGGAGACCCTGCCCTAGAGGACCACATCCCTTTACCAATTCACTCTTCTGAACAAGTGACAATGGCAGCACAGGTTCGAATCCAGCTCTTCCACTTAAGAGGCAAGTTACTTTACCTCTCTTCAAATTAGTAACAGAAGCCAAGTCACACACTGTTGGTTTGCTCTATCTACGTATGTATATAATAGAGCTTACATATAGTCACAGATGTACATATGCTATCAAGGAGCTGTTCTAGGTAGTAGTCATAGGAATGAGCAAAACACAAAAAGCTTTGCCTGCATGAAAGCACTTTCTAGTAGAGATGCCTGTAAAGAGGGAATAGGAGGAAACCATGGCCTGGAATAGGGGTGGCGAACCTATGGCCCGCGTGCTGCGGCCAGCTGTTTGTTATCACTGAAAGCTCGAAGAGGTTTTCCATCACCGGCCTAGAGTATACTAAGCTCTTGATAGTTGATGTTACAATGGGCTGCAGGTCTTTGAGTGCATGTCATCATTATTACATTATTATTTGCCAACACTTTAAATTAGCACTTGCCCCGATGTGGACATGTTCTGTGAAATGCACCATGAAGTGAGTCTGTCATTCCGCAAATGTCAGAGTACACTCCCACAAAACTAGATGTCCAGCGCATCACTCAGTTAACAGATGCTGTCCCTGTAACGCCGCACACACTTCTCCAGTAACCGTTTTGCAAACAGCAGTAGTCCATTCTAGAGTAACGATGTGAGTACAGTAGACACGTAAACCACAATAGTCACCGACTGTCATTCTGACACACCATGCACAGCTGCAGCGCCACGCAGCAGTCTGCTCACACCCGAGTCGCCGCAGGCACGTGGGCAGTGCGTCGTACCAGGCCAGGGTGAGGGCCCTTCAGCTCCATCCTAACCTCAGCTTCCAGCACCACATGTGGCCTGTCACGGAACAAAGCGTTCTGGGGTGCATGGCGGTGACTGTCTAAAGCTTGTGACATCCCACAGCTCGGGGTTTAGTGTAAGGTTGTGATCCTTCTTGGTTTTCCTGTTTCTGGTCAAGACACTTGCCTCTAATGGTAAAAAGTTGGAAGGAAAGACATTTTTTAATAGTTTTAGAGGAAGATAAGTTATATCTTCATGGTGCCCAAGGCAGCAGGAGAGAGATTTCTTAAATAGCGACACACAATGCTTTTAAAAAATGGCTTTAGGTATTCCAGAGTTCAGGAATGAAAAGGTCTTACTCACAAAGTCGATCTGAGGATCATGCTGTGGCAAAGGCCCAGATAAAATGACCAGATCAGGGCCTTTTAAAAAGAGACATAAGAAACTCATAAACAGTAACATAAATTGTTGGTTCCTTGGCATTACGCCTGCTACCACTGCCAGAGATGTATTTACTATAACTGGAAGACTGAATGAAAATCCTGCTTCTTTAAAACTTCTGTGGAACTATTTTTCCATTTACTCATGATTTGGTTTTAAAGGACATGTCTACCTGAGATAGAAGAGAAATTCATTAGTTCACCTAATTCCTGCTCAAATCTTGATGCGAATAGTGAATTATTATGTAACTACTAGAAAACAGGCTACACTGGCCATTTAAGCTGAGAACTTAGTTCTGAGCTTTCTGGTGGCCCAGATAGAAAGAGAAAGGAAAACAAAGGAAAGGCCTCAGGAACATACATCTCTGTTGAATGTAAAAATCAACTAACTGATGAAAAAAATTAACCTAGATGAAAAAGCAAGAGTCATGTAACTGCATAATAAATCATGAGGTGATACATTCTTTAGAGCAAGTATGCAAAGGAACTGCCTTTTTGGAAGGCAGTGCTGGGGATTAAACCCAGGGGTGCTCTACCACTGAGCTATATCGCTGCCCTTTTCAGTAAGTTGCTCAGTCTGGCCTTGAATTTGCAGACCTCCTGCCTCAGCATCCCAAGTGTCTGGGATTACAGGTGTGTGCCACTCTGCCTGGTTGGGGAGCTGTTCTTGATTTTAAAATAAGGATAAGTATGGTTTCAAGGAGACCAAGGACTCAGGGTTCCTCAGCACAGCAGCAATGTCCTCTTTGTGAGGCACTTGTCTCTTTGGTGAGTTATCATCATAGGCCCAAAGTGGCTATGGAATCCCAAGTATCACACGCAGACCACAGAGTTGAGATCTGAAAAGGAAACTTACTCTCTGCGTATCTTACTTCAGCTGGTTTCCCCAGTGCCACCGGCAACTGTTTTCTAGAATCTCAGCCAGAGATATGAATGCCCATGCCTAATTCAGTAAGTGACAAAAGAAACAAGGCCACTGCAAGAGTTTATACCAACAAGACCTACCCAGTGGGGTAGAGAGGGTAAGGCTTTAATAGGCAGAAGAAGGGGAGGCGGCAGACTTCTAGCTAAGAAACATCTTCTTTTTCTAAGACACAGCCACTTACAGTCCAAGGAAAATACCCGCATCAGCATATTCACAACTAGGCTTCTTTGCTCTGCATGGTAGAAAGACAAAATGTTTTTACTACTTGGAGAAGTTTTGAGAAGGTAAAGAGGCAACAAATTTAAGAATTCTAGAGGTTTTATTTCCACCCTCAGAAAGTTTTAATGTTTTGGCTGCGGCTAGTACTGCAATTCTTTTCTATGGGAACATAACTAAAAACCTGTACTCCACATGTTAAGCAGCCTCTGTCAGTGTAGCACAAGGCTGAGGGAAGCTGGGCGAGGTGGCTCATGTCTGAATCCCAGCACTCTGGGAAGCCGAGGCAGGAGAATCACAAGTCTGAACCCAGACCGGGTAACTAGGGAGACTTTGTCTCAAAGTTTTAAAAAACATTTTTTTTAAAAAAGGGCTGGGAAGTAGCTCAGTGTGACACGCGGGGTTCAGTTCCCAGCACCACAAACAAGACCATCAACCAAATGAACAAATAATGAACCTGAGATAATTAACTTTTAAATGAAGAAGTTTCTTGTGGATCCCCATTTGGAAAGTGCCAGTACTGGGGGCGAGAGGGGGACTGTGGTGAGGAAGCAGAGCCTGGGGAGCAGCAGTGCTGCAAGCTCCACTCACCTCCTTGCAGGGAGAGTGAGAGTCGGCCAGGTCCCCAAGGGCCCTCCAGGCACCGCCCTAGTGGGCTAGGGCCTCACTAAGCCCCTCCTCTCACAGGCTCCGCCACCTGGGGCCCGAGCTTTTAAGAAAGGTCAAGCCAGGCCTGGCGGCTCAAGCCTGTAACCCCAGCACTTGAGGCTGAGGCAGGATGATCGCCATGAGCTTGAGGCCAGGCTTGCCTACAGTGAGACACTGTATCGAAGCAAGAACTAAAAGCAAACAAACAACAACAAAAAACCCCCAAAACATATAGACCTTTAGGGGACATTCAAGATCTGCTATGGGTACTATAGTGACTAGAACAAAACTGATTATTTATTTATTTGTTTGTTTGTTTGCTTTTAGCCTTTCTGGAGCCTTTATTTAAAATAATCTTACTTGTTCATAGGCCTGTCCTCCAAAAACAACAACAAAAAAAGATTTTTTATTATATTTATTTTTTTAAAACTGATTTTTTTTTAAATTTAAAAAATAAATATTGAAATTGCTGTTAACACATTGCCAATAACTGCTAACATTTTCTGGGTGGCAGATACATTACAGCCAAACACAGAAAGCTTATTAGTGTTTTATATGCGTAACTATGCCAGTCGCATTAAAAATATACCCACTCCATACACAAATATGGATGTTAGAAAGCTGTCTCGTCTCATTTTAAACTCAGATGCAAACCCATTTAAACAGTTTGCTGTGAGTCATGTATCTCCCTCGGGGAAAGGGAGATGGAGTTAATTTAATTTTAAAGTCGGTTAGCGTGGTGAGGCTTGGAAGCTGCAGTCTGATCGTTCTTTTGGCGACCCTGGTAACAAGGCCAGGATCCTGGCTTGGACGCGCACAAGAGCCAAGCCATAAAATCTCCACTTCCCTCAGTGCTGTCACGATCCAAGGGGGTAGCAGGAGCGGCCTGCGAGCCACTGCTTTTCTCTAACTCAGTAGAAAACCACGCAGAGGACAGCTGAGAACGTGTTTTCTGTACACTTTGACTCAAGGAAGAACAGTGCTGTTTTGTATGTTCCGTGTGCCCTAGTGTAAGTCTCATTACACCGTAATTACTTTCCTGTTTGTTCTCAAGTTGAAGAGTTTTTAATCAATAGAAATTGTACAGTATATCTTTTCACTCTGAGACTCAATCGATCAAATATTAGGTTTACAAACACATTTGTGTGGGCCAGTTAGTCATTAAACCCACTGGTTCTATGCTGGGCCGCAGTAATTTAAAAATTATGAAATATAAGCTGGGTGAAGTGGTGCTTGCCTATAACCCCAGCTACAAGCGCGGCTGCGCAGGAGGGTTGGGAGGATGCGGGCATGGGTAACTTAGCGGGACCTGTCTTAGATAAGAATGGCATGAGGAGAGCACCCCTGAGTTTAATCTCCAGGAGTCCAATAAAAATAAAAAGCCAAAGTTTTTGATTATTTTATATACAGAACTATTTTATTTTCATTTTAATAAGGAAAATGTTATGTTGAAATCTGACCGCCACAATGACTGTTTCAGCAATTTATTTTTAAACTAAAAAATATGCTGGCATAGAAAACTGTGCCTACAATTAAAGACAATGTTTTAAGTACAAAAGAAAAACAGTAAATACGTCCTGCTTTTCTTGAGAGAAATGGAATTCTTGAGTTTTGGTTATGTGAAGAAATAACTACTGAGTTGGCAATTTGAAAGATGGTTATTCTTCAAAACATGAAGGGTATATATTTCCTTTGCCCACAGTTTGGTCTAAATGTCGTTTGCCTCTAACTGAGGACTAACTGCTTCCAGACATCCTGCTCCAACCTCAGCGATTCACTCAGCTACCACGCGCAGATTCCACAGGCGGGCGGAAGGAACCCTTTGTTTTCCGCCTCTCTCCTCTCACCCTTCAGAAAACGAAGTCTCTGAGCTCCTGGAGGAAAAGAACGGGTTCATGTGGTGTGAATCGGGTTGGTCCTTACCCCAGCACCACGACCCCCGGACAGCAGCCAGTGGGAACACACATGTGCACGGTATCAACCCCAACACAAAGCTGAAAACATAACAACTGATTTGTTTCAGTTTCTGGATTTATAGATAATCCCCCTCATTGATAATTTCTATATCAGCTTTTGAAAAAGTTTTTAAGAATAACATGTACAGAAAGTATCTACAAAATAACATGGAATGGATTTTAAAGAATTTTGAAAGAAACAAGAATAATTCAATTAACACCATGTTAGTTAAAAACAAAATGTCTCTACACATCCACTGTGAGTGTGATGACACAGTTGTATTTTGGACCACTTGATAAAAGCAAAAATGTCTGAAATTTTAATTTAGAAATTGTTTCACCTCTAAGTCATTTGAGTGAATGTAAACTTAATGGAAAGACTAACTGGCATTATATGGTTAAAACAGAAATATGATGCTTTGAATGTATACACTACTTCATCAAAGTGATTTCTGCTAAGCACTCCACAAGTTTCTGCCCTCCCTCTACTTTTTCCTCCCATAATGGTGATTGAGCCCCAGGCCTTTACACTGAGCTGCTTCCCTAACCCTTTTTATTCTGAGACTGGGTCATGGTAAATTGCCCAAGTTGGGCTTGAACTTGAGATCTTTCTGCTTCAACTTGCTGGGGAGCTGGGGTTACAGGCATGCACCACCATATCTGGCCCAAGGGTTTAAGAATTAAGTGATATTTCTAGTTGCTACTGGAAATCACTTTAAAGGAACAGACAGCCAATAACATCTCGACCACCATCTTAGTACAGGCTCATATACCCCCAAAACTATATTAAAGAGTTTTAAACATTTTTTTACTGACAAAAATATGTATGTCACGTACAATATATTGCTCTGAAATCCCAACTCTTATTAAAACCATCCTAATCTCCCTAACAGTGACCAGTATCTCCCCTATTTATTATTCTACCCTTCATACTGAGTCTCAACTCTTCTGTAAAATGCACATCAAAGACAAAACCAAAACAAAACAAAAACAAAAACTAGCTGGGTGTGGTGGCATACACATATAATCCCAGCACCTGGGAGGCTGAGGCAAGAGGATCATTGCGAGTTCCACGCCAGCCTGGGCTACAAAGTGAGTTCAAAACCCGCCTGAACTGCATAGTGAGACCCTGTCTCAAAAAGATAAAACCAAAAACAAAAACAACACTGACCCAATCAAACCAAAACAAATCTTCTACTGTTTTTGAAGAACAAAGTATTTGGCGGCACCAGAGTACACTGCCTGGCCATAACAGAGGTCAAATATTAGCTGAACTGGAAAGTGCTTCAAGAGTTAGAGTTCTTGAAAACAAATACAGCTGCATTAGTTCCTTGCTTTAAAAGGGATTGGTGGCCTTCTGCTTCATCTTAGACATGAGACACAATGACTTATATCCCACCATAATATGATGAGTGAAGAACACTGATAACGTGAGCTCAGGTACTGCTGAATAAGCTACAGTAACAAAAAAGGATAAATAAAGCCACATCACAGGGTATATTTTAGAGGTTTAAAAGAAAAGACCTGTAGAGTAATGGGTACAAACTTGTTACAAAAGTTTTAGAGTTTTTAAAAATAAAATTAATTAGAACTCCAACTCAGAAATGCATCAGTACTCAAAATGTTCCTCATGTCATTTAAAAGCAATAATGTGACATTAAATATATATATATATATAACCTAGGATTTCATTAGTTTAGACAATGAAAGTTTAGACAATTTCA